AGCTAAAAGTTACATCACGTTGACCGCTACGGTTATGGAAGTGCTTGGACAAAATTTTCTTGACTACAAAGGTTACGTTTGTAAAGGTGGATTGCAATTGTCTCTGCTGTGTGAAGTAAACGAATGATCAGTCCATTTGTGGATTAATTAATGCGATAAATTAGTTGGTATAACATGAGTCTTTTTACGCCTATATCGACAAGAATTTTGTGATAAAACAGTCGAAATAGCAACTCCAGGTGAGAATAAATTCCTAAGTTGTGAGATAGATAGGTATCATGGAATGTTCGTAACACTTACATTTCGAAATGATGAATAACAGATATTTCTGATGGTAAGGATATCTTGTCATAAAATAGAGATTGCCTTTAGGGACGCTTCTAACTAAATTTCTTTATTTTAGCTAGATATATAGTTTTCACAAAATTGAGAAACCTAACTGACTGTTACAGTATTTGTTAGGGTTGGTATTAGAGTTACTCCACCAATGTCAAGTTCTAGGTGGTAGCCCAATAGAGAAATCGATGAATAACATCCACACTTTGACCAAGCCTGTTTTACAACAGTATTTCAACCTCCGAATAGTTTGGCCCAAGAACCATACGATTATAGCTAGTTGCATTCGCTGAATACACAATAGGATGATAAATGTTGATAAACTACACATAAGTATCTCATCGGTTAGAAAGTGTTTAGGAAAACCCAAAAGACCATGGTATCTATAATGAAGCAAACGTTATTTGACAGATTACAAGAATTCCTCTCACTGCTGAAAATTAGGGCCTTATTTTATATCTTACGATAAACCTCCAACTATAAATCAGTGGAGATGAAGCATGGGAAAAAGGCTATTAAGCATACTTGCGCTCTCTGCTAGATTCTGGCAAACACGGATACTTGCTGATAGGCAGCAGATAGACAAGATCAATTTAGGACCAGGCATTGCTGTGCAACGTCTCAAGTTGTCAAACTTATGTCAGCATACCAAGCAAGAAAGCGCTGAGATGAAGGATAAAGTAATAGAGAAGGCAGTCACAGTGATAGAAAGATGTGACAAGATAACAACGAGGAATAAGAAAATACTAGATTCGGAATGACGACTACGACGAGGATAATTAGTGGATGCATCTTCTTCACTGAAATCAGTCCTTGATGTTATCAAGTCCCTGACCACTGTTTTCTGTTGTCACGCGGACCCCAACCGGGAAGTCTTTATTTTTCTACATGACTCAGATCAACAGCCAAATTTTTCATGTACTGATGCCAGTTCTTAGTCTAAACGCTGTTAACCCTTTGCCAGACAATCTAATTCAGGTTGCATTCTGCGATGAGGAAGATGGTGATTAGGCATGAATAACATAGCCATGATAAGCAGCATTAAACGTGTGTATCGATCTGATTCCAAATTTATTTTATCGGTTCGAGTGTCAAATAATTTCGGTAAGTTTTATCTTCTCGAACACTTGGACATAATGGATAGTTGAATAAGCAATCCATTACAAGATACTTTTTCTAGCGATTTCAGCCACAAACCTAGGACATCCCGCTTACATATCACGCCTCCGGCATTGAAAATTTGTGAATCAGGATTCAGTAGTTTTTGTGGGTGCTTAACCGTAGGCAATGGAAGAAATAATGATAGATAGTGGCTAGCAGTGGAATCCAGGATGCGCATTTCATCTAATCAACGACGGTATAAAACAAGCAATAATACTAATGGAAGAAATAATTGTGCTGTGCCATTAACTCACATGCTTAGTCTTACCAATCACTTTGAATACACCATTAAAGAAATTACAATGAAAACATAAATCTCTAGTATTTAACAGTATAACCCATTTTCGACACTGAAAGGATATTTGTTCGTTTACCAGGAGTTAGGTACGAGGAATGTCAGGTTGATAAGTACTATTTTACATAAAAGTCGACAAGTCTGTATCGAGTGGAATGGTTGGTGCATATTCACCTTTTGTTGTGGTTGCCAAACTGTAAGACAATGAGATACAACGTTTAGGGATAATAAAAAGAAAGAATGACTTACTAAAGTGAGTATTCTAGACTCTAAAGTTGACAAAGAATGGAGATAAAAATGCAAAAAATAGACGTTATGCATTATATAATTGTCATAAGAGCCACAGATTAAGTGCTAACTGGAAGAGTCAGGTGAGTGGAAATAAGACAACTGATACAAGGAGATAAACTGGACCAGGAAAAGGAGGTAAAATGACATCAGAGTGCCAAACATTATTATTATTTATTTGTGGCTTGGGTTCCTAATGGAACATAGGGCTTCAGCAGCACGTCTCCATTCCACTCTGTTCTCTGAAATCTTTTGAATCTGGCTCCACGACTGCCCACAAGCTCTCATTTCCTCCTCGCACGACCTCCGCCATGTCACTCTCGCCTCGGACGCCCAACTCGTCACTTCCCATGCGGGCTCCACTCGAGGGCCTGGCCTGATGTCCCCAGTAGGCCTTCTCAGTATATGTCTGATCCATCTCCACTTCCTTCCACTGCATATTTGTTGAGTGATAGGTTCTTGGTTGGTTCGTTGCCAGTCAGAGTTCCTTGTTGCTTATTCTAATTATTGTGGCCATCTGATCTTGAGTATGGAGCGTAGGCAGCTGTTGATGAATGTCTGTAGTTTGTTGGAAATGCCTTTAGTAACACGCCAGGTCTCTGAACCATATAGAAGCAATGACTTGACTGAATTGGTGTTGAAAATCCAGATCTTATTCTTTATGCTGAGTGCAGTGTAGTAGTTCTCCACGCTAGTTTCAAGCTAATGAACGCCTGCCTTGTTTTTCCGATCCTGGCTTTGACATCCTCGTCTGTGCCACCTGTAGTTGAAGCAGTGCTGCGTAGATAGGTGAAGTAGGTTACTTCCTTTAGGTCGCTCCCGTTGATGGTGATTGGAGTTTGTTGTTGTTGTTGGTGCGGTATCTTCATCACCTCTGTCTTCTCTATATTCACTTGAAGTCCCGTCTTCTCTGCCCTGCCTCTTCTGTCAATTTGTTTGTTTTCGCCTGTAGGTCTTCAAGTTTGTGGGACATCGGACACAAGTCATCGGCGAAATCCAAGTCTTCTAGGTTCTTTTCCACAGTCCAGCCAGCGTATCCCCCTCTTCTCGCTCCTCACTGTTTGCTGCATGATCCAGTCCACTACAATCAGCAATATCATGGGTGATAGGCAGCCTTGTTTCACTCCTGTCTTCACTTCAAAAGCATCACTGAGCTTCCCATTATGAATTACTTGGCATGTGGCGTCTTCATATAGTTGTTGAATACGGTTGATAAAGGTTTGCGGTATTCCGTAGTGTTGAAGCAGCTGTCTGCAAAATTACTTCTCGGTCGACGCTGTCAAAGGCCTTCTCAGAGTCGGTGAAGTTGAGGTAGTGTTGAGTTGACTGCCATTCTATGCTCTGTTTTATGATGATGCGTGGCGTTGCGATTTGGTCCACACATGATTTGTACTTCTTGAAGCCAGCTTGTTCCGGTCATAGTTGTGAATTCAGCGCATGTTTTAGTCTCTCCAGGATGATGGGGCTTAATATTTTGCTTGGGGTGGACAGCAGCGTGATTACGCGCCTGTTGTTGCTAAGACTTGGGTCTCCCTTCTTTGGGAGTTTGACAAGGTAGCACTTCTTCCAATCGCCAGGTACCTTCCCTTCCTTCCAGACCTCCTGCAATAGTGGTGGATTGCCAAACATAAATATCTATTATTGGAGACAAAAACGACTGGTGCATATCCAGTTCTTGTTGTAGTGAGTTTAAAAATAAAAAAAGTGCCGCAAGAACAGTAGGTCATAACTAATTCATGCAGTTTCTGATAAGTGGCGTTTTCTATGTGAAGAACTTTAGGATGATGACTGAGATCCTCGAGATAATAAAAACCAATTGATGAGATGACCTAAAAATCAATCCTGATAAAGGAGGTACATTTTCTCTTTATTCAAATGTAAAAATTGGAAATCATATTATATCCCTTTTAATTTAGTTTCCTGTGACTTTTCTGGTTGCATCACACTAATTTTGCCTTCCTCGTTGATCACTTTTGTTTAAGAGTTTTAATGTATACGAGGCTTCAAAATGAACCAATCGGCCAACTGTTTACAACATTAAAAGGTTAAGACCATCTCATGAATGGTGTTTAGTTAACCGCTACGCAACGATTATTTCAATATCCCCATATATTGAGCCAGGTTCAAAAGACTGCAGAGAACAGAGTGAAATAGAGACGTGTTACTGAAGCCCTATGTTCCACTAGGAACCCAAAGGACGAATTATTATCACATATAGACTTACAATGGAATAGGCCTAAACGGCTTTGTACATTATACGGTGAACCACACTTGTAATACTCTATTTAATACCGCAGTGAAGGTTGATTGAAACAATATAAAATGAAACACCGTTTCAATCAATGCTTACAACATTGAGTCACACAACTACATCTCATGACTTATCTACAGGATCATGCGAACAAATGATACCACCCTTATAGATAGAGGGGAATCCAACCCTATAACAATGGCTGAATGTTTATTAGGCACATGACGAAATAAGCTTTAACATTAGGAAGGACTAGTGACTAACAGTGAAATATATGACCTGCGTTTCATCCTACTCGGAACTCGTCATCTGGAGGTATCTGAATCTCAGTCAGTGATGTTGGTTCACACTGAGACAATCAGAAGGGAAGCCCTTGACCTACATCTCATGCTTTTCAGGATTACTCAGAAAGGAGTATTTTCAAACTCTAAGGACTGACGTCTCAGGAACTCAAACTTGAGTCACTTGACGCCACAGTCAGAGACGTTATCGCTGAGTTATTCAGCCCTGGATTTATCTCCTGTAGAACAGGATTAAACACACTGATTAGTCATTTCAAAAGGACCGAGAGAATTCGGTCAGCACTTAGGACTTGGCAGTATGAAGTCGGTTATTATCCAACGAACAACCAACCATATATCAACCAATACTTAGTAAAAAAAAATAATGATAAACACACCATATTCTTTTCAAATGATTACTAAAATTGGAAATAAGCAAACACAGCAGTGTATTAAGAAATGAAAAATAATACTTTTATGGTTGTAAAGAAGAAATACCAAGAAGAATTTCGATGTAGATTATTCAGTTAATCATATCACGCTTATTAATATTATTTACACATATGACAAGTTGAAATCATGATGACTTGTCTCAAATGAGGGCATGGATATTGAAAAAAGGGAGTAATTTACATAACCTTCAATTAAAAATATAGTGGATAAACGGTGAGACAAGAAAGCTTAGACAGTGACCATGTCCGAATCAGATACGATTACATGGTGAGTAGAAATGTCCATAAGCTGAGTTACACAACTCAACTCCTAACAAGCTCAGAATTGTCCAGGAGTCACAAACACTGTAAATGAAACCAAAAGGAGGGTAGAGGAAAGAGGAAGCTATGACTAAGAAATAATCATACATTCGTTCTTGAAAGTAATGAATAAACTAAAAAAATTTGTACAGTTCATCGATTGGTGAACTCAAAGTAAACATGAGGATGACAAGGATGATTTACAACTTCCATAAATTAAATGACTTTGATCTGAACTACGAGAAGCATGTGCTTTATCTGATTGGTTCTTTGAATCTAAACAGGAAAAGGAAAATAATAATAATAACTAAAGGTTAGAAGGTTTCGTCACATACTACTTAGCAATACTAGGGTAGTTTGAAATCACTATTAAACTTATGTACTAGGTGAGTAATTTCTAAACAGTCAATGACAATTCTCTTAAATAACGTTCATCAGCTATCTATCTGAATTGATTCTTCCGTAAATTCTGACTAGCTGCCTGAACAAACGAGAGATATCATGAATCGAAGAAAGGGATTTTAAGATTTGTTGCCCAAAGTTAGAGTTAAAGTTTTCAGTAACAAAACATTTGCTCAGATGTAGGAAAACTGACTTATACTTTTCATATTCAGGTGTGATTTTCAGAAAAAGAAGTGACAGTTCGCTGAAGAGAGGTACGTTTTGTGAGTTTAACTCGAATATTACTTAAGAAATCAGTAATTCAAAATAATCCGATTAACATCAGTTGGAGAACGATTGAAGTCTGGGAGCAGTGTTTCACTCTAACTGGGATGAGTTAGCACTGAGCACTCATGTCTTCACTACGGATCGAGCCAATGACAATCAAGTGTGGGAGTAAGAATGGTACTATTCAGCCACTGAGGTGGAAGCTAATGGTTCATGCAGTGGCTAATTACCACATAACAGATGGAATTAGTGACATTGCTTTGAATAGTATCGAGTATATACACTCTGCCAAGTGGTACTGTGGATCATTGGGGCAAGCAATCAACATTCAATCAGTGGGTTATGGGTTCGAACACCATTCCATTTTTACCCAGGTTTGGACAGCCAGGTAGTATCATTAGCCCTCATACGATAGGTGTAGCTCATTGTCTACTGCATGAGCGTGCACGCGATTGTAAGTATATTTCAATCTTTTGTCGATACTCCAACACACGCTTGTACATACGAACCATATGGGTAAAAGTGGATTTCGTGGATGCGACAAACCATTTAAAAGTAGATGATTTCAAGCAAATATTCCCTCCTTCCTAAGTAATCAACTCATACACATATGTATAAAAGGTCTTCGAATATAAACCATTTGTGCAATTCACTTAGTGTTTATGAGAAAACCGACTGGTTACTGTTGGTGATTAATAAACGTCAATTTACTTTCCAGTGCAAAATATGACCAGTTAATCTGTTTTGTCTATGCTAGGTCTAGTCAAAGATGCAGTTTCAGCTGGAGTAAAACTAGGTTGGAAAACAGCTAACACATGGCATCTATTTACGTAATCAATATCTGTTTGTTTAAGCCATGCAGGGAAGTGTAACTGCCTAGTTTGTTGTCTACCATAGAAGCAAAATGAACGTTTCAAAACTCTAGGTTATGAGGTATAACGTCAACTACAGTTTCCATGGTGTACTCTTATTTTCAGTAAAGTTGCAATATATCATTGCACCTATTCTCTTCTTCTTATGGCTTTTTGTGGTTCCAGTTGGTTTCTTGATTAGAGATTGCAAAGCATGTCGGATAATCTTGATGCTTTTTTATTTTATGAACCAATGAAGCCTGAAGTATAGCACTGCACTAGAATTGTGGGTGAGGATTACTGACCAGATTATTAGAAGTGATAGCTGGGTAACGAAAACTAGATATGAGCGTTTTCGATCGGTTTACATCACTGATAGTTCCAGAGTGAGGAAAATAAGCCTGATAGTGTCAAACATACTAAGTTGTACGAGTAATAACCGCCCAAGAATAGCAAAAGTGAGAAAATTAAAGGACATTTCTGAACTCGTAGTGGGTGTATCAACTATATTGTTACTGCACATTACATTTTTGAGTGCAAGCGCGCTCACAGTACACGACACTGTATTTCTTGACCTAAAAGCTGAGGTTGACTACATTGACCGAGTGGTTTTATGACAGCGTTTGCTATTGAAAGGGATGTCAGGTAAATGTGTCACGCTGCTGAAGGCGGCTTACATGGGTATCTATGGTCGTCTTAGGGCCTTTAATGAGGTATTATGTGAGTTGCCCTCGCCAAACGTTAATTAAGGATGCCCAACATTGCCAGTTTGATTTACTTTATCATAGACATGCTTCTCTTCTATCTTGAATTTACATCATTACAAGAAAGTCTTCAATACATTTAGGTAACAGAGATGATGTAGTCCTCTCAAATGAGAATGCTGTCCTTCCGAATGAGAATCACTTTTTCAAACCTGCCAACGCGATTAATTTGTTTGATGACAAGAGCTAAGCGGTTGAGTGCGTTGACCACTTCATGTATTGGGAAGTCAGATCAGCTCTGATGGGTCAGTGACTGTTGATACTTCAACACGGATAAAGAAAGCATGAATGACTTTCGATAACCCATGCCACTCTTGGTGTCAGTGAGTAATCCAATCACCTGGTATGGGTCGACTGTACTGAGCAGCAGTTCACCATGTAGTACTGTATGGACATGAAACATGACCACTAAAGGTGGCGGATACAGAAAGGTTTCAGATGTTCAACTGCTGTTGTCTTGAAAGCACTGGTTGCGTGTCGTGGAACAAACATATTATTAATATAAAGATTGGGTGAAGAGTTTTTGGTCAGAGAGGTGAGTCAGTTGATGAGGTAGTGAACGTTTAATAACTGTGGTTGATACTTGTGTTATGCTTATCTAATCATTGTTTACCTTGGTGCACTATGTAAGCCGTGGCAAGGTAAGATTGGAAAAAGATTGAAGATGACTGAAGCAAATATGGCATCAATCAATGATCGCTCTTACGTTTAGCCTGAGTTGAGTACAAAAATTCAAACTTCCAGATTACGATCTGCGTGACAGCTAAAATCCACGGTTAAAACTCTAGGTGATAAGACCACGGATTGATTTAAGTGGTACAGATGCCTCCAGACTTCACTTTGATGGCGATCATTATATCACATCATTCTATTTAGTTGATCTGTCTCCTAACAGCCTTCCATGGCTTTAGATTTTACTACTTCTATTTGTTTTTCTCTTTGCCACCTTGTATGATTTCTGTGTTAATGACGTAGTGGTAAAACAATATAGGTTTATGTTATGAAGGCGATAGTGGTTGAACACTTGAAGCCTTCTCATGTCTTGTGCCTATAATGGACAGTTTCTCCAAATCACTGCTTTTACGAGATGTGTCACACAGTAAAATAGTATTATTTACTGGATAACGTTTCGGACATAATATATTTTGCATATTCACATCAGGTAACTCCAAAACATTGAGACATGGTTTATACAGTACTAGTTTTCGAGCCTTCTTTGTGGTATGCGTAGTGGGTTTTTCCATAAATCTGAAACAGGTGCTGCGTCATACCTTGTTGGATGTATTTGGTGTTGATTCGATAAATAAAGATTCAGTTATCAACCTCTTCCTTCAACCTACTGAGTTAGTTTTGAGGATGTCACGTTCGCACGCCATTGCGTGCAGTCATATATACAGCTATAGACGAACTTTTCTCTAATCCCTTATCTTTCAAGGAACTGAAAATCTTATTTAACTAAGTTATTATGCTCCAATATGTTTCACAGACACATAGTAAGACAGACAGAACTGTACCAGAGTACACTCAAATCTTAGTAATAGATGTGCATAATTCCCTCTTACCAAAAACGAAGTTTCCTTGAAATTTTACGATCAAAATCCTCGAGATCACTGCCAACAAAATAAAGCTGTTGCTTATTGGCCTAGGCACTAGAATTTCAAACAATAGGTTACTGGTTCCGAATCCACTCAACCCATTAAGTTTTAAGTGACTCTTTAGAATCTTAGATCTGACATAATAGGTTTAACCGATTCAAGCACGGACCTGAACATGATAGTTGAGCTACACTTTTGTTCTTCAGCCAATAACTAATCGTCACTTGTGCGAAGATATAAGAATCCCCCCCCGTCAACAAAAGAAAGTGCTAATATTCTACTTGAATCCCGTTGGCTCATTGATTTCTACTACCATGTTTAATATCTTGGTGACACTAATAATAATAAAAGAAACAGACTAAATATGGAGGAGTGTGAGAAACCCACTAGATTCCATCAGAAAGGGTGTACTAAGAACTTACCATCTTTAGACCGATTGACAAAATGACCTTCACCACCGGAAACCATTAGGAGACTGAGTTTTTCGACTCTTTTTTTATGTTTACTAAATAAATAAGAGTTTGACATTTTATGCATAGATGAAGATGTTTGAAAGGTAGCAAAAGATTTGGAACCAGATTGAATACTTGAACTATCTTCGCATTGTTGAATAACAGTTGGTGTAACAAAAAATCTCACCGGTGTTGTGTGTTGATGAACACTTACTGTAAAGAAAAAAAATACGCGATTGTCTTGAAAATGAATATATTTAGATATAGGATTTACGATCACAAGAAAATACTAGAGAAAGTAAGAAGTTCAGCAGAGAAAATAGTAGTAGAAATCAATATTAGGAAGATTATCGTGTATATTATCTTCATTACTAACATCAAATCAATGAGACAACCCTACTGAAATAGCACACCAACTCCTAAACAAGCTTAAACTTTCGAATGGATAACGGTTTATTAAAATGATAACATTATGAGAACGTTAAGCTGCAGTTCAGTTACCTTGTTAGAATTCAGAAGTGTTGATATTTTCCAATCCTAGTCAATTATTGATGCCTCAAGACCATGATCCAATGTCAGCAGACACCGAGGTTAAACTCAACTCGACTGATCTTGAGTCAACTAGCTCTTAAATAGCCATTTGTAGGTAAACTGATAATTTTGTATCTTCACCCGATTTGCTACACTTTTTAAACACCTTTATTTATCCGTCCTGACTAAGAACAATTACAGATGACAGCTATTGAAAGAGGGATATCGGTAATAATAGTATTTCCCATAAACAATTAGTTAGGTAGGTCGAATGACCTTTGCTAGACGTCTGTGAACTAAAAGGGTTAGAGACATTATTGGTGTAGATAGGTTGAGTGAATTTGTTGACTGGATATAGTTCCTCAAATTCAGACATATTAATTTGTGAATATATTTTTGACCTCCAACAAAAATAGAACACAAACTGTTAGGGAATTCAAAAACTAAACTAACTGTCCAGTGCGATGTGGTTCCTGACATTTCTTCAACTGATATCGGTCTATTTGAATAGGTATAGAGACTATTTCATTTCGGAAATGACTTACATGAACTGGTGATAAGCTTCATTACACTAGTGAGTGTCTATTAAGTCTGACCCATGTGTGACTTTATAAGTGATAATTCTATACAATTGATGGGCGCTTACACAAAATGTAGAACTGAATTAGATTTAAATCAGTGACAATAACATTATCAGGACTCAATGAATTCAGAAGCCATCAAATAAATCTATAGAAACATTCAGTAATGGCTTTTGGTAATGAAGATAAAATATTCGGTTGATGATATTGTTATAGGTCCTCTAATATCATCACATATCATAAAACGGCATCAAATTTTCTCAACAACAAAAACGCCATGAAATTTAAAGGTTGTAGGTTCAATGTCTGTAAAACTACAGAATAAGCAATAGTGAATGCCGACTAGTGGTCGTATAGTTTCCTGTGCTTCCATAATCAACGTTGATTTTTGATGAAAGCTACCTGAAACCTACTCATTGAGTTTGAAATTTAGTTACACTTAGCTAAATTACTTTACGAAGAAATTCCTCTGGTATATCAATGTCAAACATGTAGGGCTGGTTAGTAAACAAAAAGCCAGTGACATTTAAATGATCTGTATGATAAACATCCAAAAGAGGAGATTAGTGTTGAGGTACTGTTCTAAAGTATTCTGTGTTTGTTTCCAACCAACTGTTAACGAAAATACTTCAATGGGCAGGATGGTGTATTCAATTTTTCCGTTTACAAGGATGATTTGGACGGTTTTAGATTATTCAAGCTTATATCACCACATATTACGCAATATCAAGTCTAAATAAAAAGACATTATATACATAAGTACTAAAAAAAAACACTTCCTTACTTGTACTGATGAACAATCTAGAATCGCCTTGCAAATACGCTTTGATAAATTCGCTGAGTCTACCGATTTTTAAGGCAATGACGAATTTGTGTGGCATGGAAAAGTAAACAAAACGATTTACAAAAAATTAGTGTTATATCAAAGTGAATGGAATATTTGCCTTAGGTATAGTACAAAATGTGTGAATATATGCTGTTTGAAAGGCAAATAATGCAGCGAATTAAACTAGTCTACTAGGGTATCAGTTACCGATTAAAATATCACAAGAGGTTAGATAATAACTGACCTTCAACCAAGCAATTATGATGAACATCTACACATACTGTGGTTACGAGTTCTGCTAGCCACTTCATTCCCTATTTAAATAAGTCACTCAAGAACCAACAATTTGTATTTATGAGGAAAGCATCTTCACTTGAAGAGATTACATCTACGCTGTAGTCTACTGTAACGTGATTAATCTCTGTTAAGTCAGATAACGAGACAGAAATAAAATTGAACGAAAATCGTGAGAATGGATATACCTGACGGAAGTGACTAGGCGTAGACAAATCACCTCATACTCCGATGAAGGTTCTAACAAAACAATATGTTCGAATATAAAGTTTTCAGCAGTATACTGCAGTAGGTATTTCCAAAAAATATCATGTCAAAGTGCGTTTCAAGGGTAACTTGAAGAACCTTTCCGCTTGCATAATACAGTACTAATTCTTTGTGGACTAGATGTGAAAAATTACTGCAGAGTAAGTGAAACACAGAGTATTCGACTGTTTTATGTATATGCCTCAACTGCTTATGTTGCTAACCAGTATTGTCTTGTGCAATGTAACCATCATAGTCAGCAATGAAATGCAAATTTCTTGAAACGGATTTAGGGAAATCTCTTTTATACATTATCGTATCTAAATTAACCCAGCATTTGACGTTTGACTTGGGCAACTGGAATGAAGAATGAAAGGAATACGACTGTATTTATTATATTATTGAGTCAGACAAAACTCATCGGTCGTCAATTATTTCAGTTATTCATGTGCTGTGTGAGAGCAAACGTGTATAATTGGTGCAGAGTTGTGACCCACTAAATGTCTCAGGTGTACCGCAAGTTTGCTACTGTTTGTACTCTTCAGGATTCAGTTTATCAAAACAAGTGACTACAGAGATTTTTCTGTCTAATCAGGTCACTATTTAACGAAAACGTATCCAGATTATGCAGATAACTTCTTGTCAGATACACCAAACCTAAAGATGATGGAATATATTTATAGTTCAGGTGGATGATTTTGATGGTATGGTGTTCTCTAACCTGAATAGTTTAATCATCAAGGTTCACGTCAGTAGGACGGCCAATCGAAATAAGAATGCACATAATGATAAGATATTATCAGAGACAACTAAGCACGCTCAAGGTCATCATGACGAGCTAGTAAGCCACTTGTAGAAAAATCTCATAGCTCACCTCTTTTTGAGGTTTTTGCTGATAATGTTGTCTCAAATGACAATCAATAAAAGGTTCACGATTAAATCCCCTAGCTCAGACAGAACAAAAACACTTAAAAAACCCAAACCTTAAGTAGATAAGTAGGGAACTGAAACTGCTGCTGTAGAGGTGATTATATGGTCATATGGGAACTTATCTAAGTTGCATGAAGCGCACCTGGAGGACAGGAATTTCTTCATAGTAATGCGGAAAAAACCCGAGTTGGGGTATCCAAAGTAGTTAGGATCGTTAACAGACAGAGAACATCCAATACATTTCGATTCTCTAAAATCACATTAATCAGATGACTTAAGATGTATTTATGCGAGTATAATGAGAAAGTTATCAATATTCTACTACTCTAGTATCAGGTGAAAAATATTGTCTTCCTATTTTTTTCACACTTTCTAACCTTTTACGGTCAATCTCTCGACCCCATAGTTTCTAGGTCGAGACTTTTTGATACCTTACTTTAGATAGTGACCTCTGTAGAAAGAAATGTCTTCACGTGATATATGATTTGAGAAAAGGTAACAAACTCTTCAGAAAAATTAAAAACCCGCAGATTTGTTTATGTTTGTTCATACTAGATGGATAAATCTTGGAAATTCTCATATATATGTAGTGCAGAAAAAAAGGAAAAGTTACTTACCCTTCTGACGTTCTGTGGTTGACTTTTGAAATGTTCTATTGAATAAAGAATCTTGAAAATGAATCGTGACAACAAGCCCAACACTAGTCCCAATCCACAAACGATCATTCATTGATGTCAGTGTAGTGATGGCGAAGCTGGGTGATTTAATTTTCGAAGAAATATTGTTGCATTCTGGTTGATTAGAATTAGCTAAAAAAGTAAAGGTAAAAAATGTTTGCTTTTTGGAAACATACTACTTTTTTGCATACAGTAATATTACGACTAAAGGTGAAATGGAAATGCTCATCTGGAAATTCATTCTGCATCTTGGGGTTCATGGGGATTTATTTGTTCTCATTAGTCACTGTAATGACAGTTGAAATTGAAACTAGTTATCGTAACAAAAAATGATTTCATTTTAAAGACACCAGTCAGAACAATTAGAAGGGTTCACCTAAGTATAATATTGAATTTATTTCACAACCGATCCTTACTTTTCAGTGATTGAGAAGTGAAAGTTTGTATTACAAATAAACACACAAAAAAAATCCAGATAACATGAGCTTTTCAATAGACCATTCAACCTAATGAGTTACATTAAATTGCCAACTGCGAACACATAGAAAACTGCGTACTCTATAAAGTGACTGAATGTTATTTTTCGAAAGACACGTTTCAAAGTACTGATCTACCAGTTTCACATATGCTTACGATGTTAATCTGAAGGAGTCACAAAACCGATACAGTATGACTGATTCTTGTAAGCATATCCTAGGGATTCGATACGTCTGGCCTGGAACCAAGTTTTTCTGACAAAATGTGTCCATCGGTTCTAGTATTTTCAGGAGTCTCATGATGTCCGTCAAATAGTCTGAAAGACAACAGCGGTTACAGATTGGAGGAAATCGGGTCTACCAATAAACGAAACCTCTATTGATATCTGACAGTAAGATGAAGGATGAAGCTTCTAAAGACGTTTGGGAGTAACGAAGGGAAATATGCATCGACAGTGGTGTAGAGATGCTCGAGGCATACAACAAACAAACTATTCTTATGGTAGCTAGGAAAAAAGGTTAAAAGGGCTGAGTGTCAGTTTATCGGATTCTTAAAAGTGCAACACAGTCGCGCTCACACGGCACGACAATGGAAACAAGATGGTAATACACTTACTGAAATATCCTTTGATCCGGAAATGTGAAGGGTGATATGACATCATATCGACAAGAGTAATTCTTAAAACCACTCTAGCATTCAGTGAAATGACCGAGTAGGTCTCTTTGTGTCATCTGGAAAGGCACTTTTTGCATGTTATGAGGAAACCTAGTTGAGTGGCTCTTATAATCACTCATCAGCAAAGGGTATTCAGTAAAGAATTGATATACCAGTCTTTGGGATTAACAAAGATTCTAGAGTGACATATACGGATCCGATTAGTGAATCAAAGGGACATAATGATCTGCGTACCTAATCTACCACCAATACTTCGGCGCATGTAACATAAATGCATCACTGTAATTTCATTGATAATGAACGAACAATAACAACAAACTTTGTGATTGCCATACGTAGGTGTCTGCCATTGTGTGGTTGCTTTGTTTGAATGCAGTGCACTGTTTAAATAGAATATGTCAGTTTGAGTTTTGGACAATGTCAGCACAAATTAAAATTCTTGTTATTTAGGCGTTATTTGAAGTTAAGACTTTTAGTTCTAGCTTGACTGCGGAAATAAGCTTATAATTTCATTCCAACAATATAAGTAATATATACCACCTTTTAAGAAAGTTGTTTTGAGTGACTTCTTACATCTTTGAAAAATTGTCTTCACTAATGTAAGTCCAAAGGACAAAAGGGAGATCTGTTTCTAACAGACTTTCTACAAAGATGTAAAGGCTTAGATACTTAGAGGTAAGACCTTCACTTACACAAGCTTTCACAAAACGATTTTCATAACAAAACAGCTGCTGTACATACAGTTACCGCCATTTGGTAGACACTTTTGGTGATAATTCAACCATGATGAATAAGAATTAAAGTCAGAGATAAAATAGATGGATGCAACCGGAAAGTCGCTAGTTAGAACCCCACCACGCCTAGTGAGACAGGTAACCGTGCCATATTATTAATACTCACGCAATGGATTCGCCCCACTACTTACACCATGCGAATGTCCATGTGGGTGATGAGTGCATTTTGTGCCAAAGAAAAGCATAAATGGTAATGATGGATAATGGCTAGCAGTGGGACTCAAGATGCGTTTTTCGTCCAATCTGGGACTCGTCAGCCAAATGTATCTTCTTCCAAGTGAGTGATATTATTTCCACTAAGACGTAATTTATATCTGGCAAGAAACCTATGCACTAGAAAAGTACTTTAACATTTTGTGATGAACTGTTAATGGAATTAATTATTAGACATCAGCAATGGACTTTCTTTGGTAAACTTAAAACGAAGAGTAGTTCTTTATTTTCACACTAAATACTCACTTATCGTTTCACCATTATCATTTCACTATAATGAATGCTACTTTTCTTCTTCTTCAGACCAGTGGTCTTCAACCACTCACGAATTGCTGATCGTGTAGATTATTAACTTATACTTGTGCAAATTAATATGACATATTTATGAACGAATAATATTCTTTTAAACATCTTCCCGCCACCTTCTGAAGTTATGAAATCAAATATGCCAAGAAGGTAATTGCCGATTTTCCAGCGAATGGACTTTAGAATGGATATGTGATTATAATTACAATCAGATAGTTTAAAGTTTGTGGGTGATAGTATGACTTATACATACACGTCAACTGCTATGCTAAGTTGAGTGCAAACTATAAGTGTCAATTGATTGGTGATCAAACATAGTGACATGTTTCATTCAGCCTACCATCGGATTGGAAATTGGCTAATAAAACTGCTACGGCCTTTATGTGATGAACTTCTATGATATAATGTCAAGGATACCTTCGTGTTTATCAATAGAATACATGAAATAAATGCTTAGATTAATGTACAGGATGGTTTGCTGTAACATCTTTGTTTACTAATATTCCTCTAATTGAGACTGTGAACTATATATGGGAACAGCTTGTAGAATGGGAATTTAGAGGAGTTGCCGATCAAGTGTACAAGTAATGTTCAGCTCATTGTTCAATCAAAAAAAATACAGACAAATCGACTGTGTGGCGATGGGATCCCCACTTAGCCCTATATTTACTGACATATATCTAGAAAAATTAGAAACCGGACTACTGAAGAATGTCACTGTCAATACAAATTTTTATTGCCCACACACGGATGAAACATTTTTATTTGGTAGTAAATATGTCTAGTGATTAGATCATCAACCACTTTAAATAGGATGCATCCAGCAGTCACTGTTACGTAAGAATTCGAAAGTAATAACGCTCTTCATTTCATTAACGTGATAGTGACAAGAAAAGAAGATGGTTCCTTAAGACGAAGCATGTATAGGAAGGCAACGAAAGTACAGTATACACACATCTTCAGTTGGTACCAGTGAAGTACAAACGAAATGTGATTAGATGTCTAGTATTCAGAGCAATATCAATCTGTACTGAGGTGTGGCGAGAAGTAACAAGGCTTTCAGGAAATCCTAAGAGAAGATGGATATCCTGAAAAGTTCGTAAAGGCGAATAATGAGCATAATATCCGCAAAAATGAACTGATGAGAGGAAAGAAGGAACCTTTGCTTTTATGTCTCAAATTCTAAAAGGAAAACTGCAAGCGGAATTTTGTCACACCGTTTATCTAGAGAAATATAAAATATTCTACTCGGAATGTTTATGCTTCAGTTGTCAACTGTTATTCGACCCGAGACTTAAAGATGCCTAACCTAGTTTAAGCTCATTATCATGCACATAACTGTTCTTGTGTAACAGTTTTCATAGGACGAGCTATTCAACACGTCCACCTCAGGATACGAGAACAGACCCATTAGAATTTCCATTATAAGGCTATCTAGCAGATAGGACACCAAACAGATTTTAGCATAGCTTTTACTGTGATAAACAGAGTTCTGAAGACTCGCTTGCGCATTCCCCGCATAGCTGAAGCTCTAGATATATGATTAACAAAGCTCGAACTTTATATTCAAAAAGAACACATCAAGGCATTAACCCTCTCCTTGGCTCCCATTGACTAAACAGCATTCCATCATCCATATGCTTCTCTTCTAATTTTTTCGTTCCCTTTCTCCTTTTTAAAGCACAATCTTAACTCGATTCTACTTATTCTAATACACTTTTAAAATTTCTGTTAAGGTTTTTGGATACTTCCTTAATTATTCACACTAGTATCACTATTGCTATCATACTGCCTCAACCATTTCCTATTTTAACCATTTCATGATGAAATAGCCACTAATCATCTAGCCGATTCAATGAAATCTTGAACTTTATAGTTGCTTTTCCTTCTCCATGCTGTATACATTCACTTTACCTGAACAATCAATTGACACTTTTAGTTTACACTCAACTTACCGCAGCAATTGACATCATGTTTAAGTCACACTACCACCCACAAACTTTAAATGATCTAATTGTAATTATAATCGCATATCTATTCTAAAGTGCATTCGCTGCCAAATTGGCTATTACTATGTGAGAAAATTTGATTTCATAACTTCAGAAGATGACGAGAATTTATTGAAAAGCATATTCTTTGTTTATATTCTCATCATCATCATTATCAACATAGGACCAGGCATTACTGCATAACGGTCCAACTTGCCACACCTCATATCAGCACATCAAGTAAAAAGGTAGTGAGGCGAAGGATGAAGATAAGTGAATGCAGTCAAAAGAAATATGAAGTATGAGAAGAAAGGAAAGAGAAGTGACAAAATGGTGAGATTCGGTATAGCGTTGTTAAGATGAGGATAATGTGTGTATACATCTGCGCCACTGACATCGGTTCTGAGCCATATCACCTAGGGTCTCCAACCACTGGTTCCTCTTGTCCCATGGACCCCAACCACCTAGTCTGCATCGTCTTACATGGCTTAAACCAACAGTCAGAGACTTCATACATTGGTGGAGACTTCATACATCGGTGTGTTTATATTCTACCTTTAATAAATGAAATGGGAATCTTTAAATATCTAAAGATATTTTAATTATTTATATTTCGTTGTTATTGCGAATCGCTGTTGGTAGGCAAACTGTATATCGACAATATTACAGATAACATGATAATTGTATTCAGATGTATCATGACTATCTTGAGTGAGGTAGGAAGAGAGACGTGAGATATCATCAAATGAAGCCGAAAATACATGTCAGGGATGATTCCACTGTAGATGTTTTCAATGCTTTATCATCATTTTCCTTTTGAATTGTTGACTTCCGGTTTCTGTACTGTTTAAGAAGTACGGCAACTGGGACCGATATACTCTTGTTGCTGCATAACATTTTTGTCATGTGTCAATTTTTTATGTTTCAAGTAAATAAATGTAATAAGAAAGTTGGGGTTCCTTGACTGCTTAAACAATCGAGTAACAAATCAGTCAAGTGAATATGATTTCAATAGACTTTTCAGTTGAATAATAGATGTTGCTTTCAGTTCAGTAAGAAATGAAACCTGAATTCTAATGGATTTTGTATATATTTCACAAAACAAAAAGGTACTAACAAAGTTTGTGTTAAATTGTCTTTCAAGCCATATACGTATATGATCACCAACTCTAGTCTGTATAGCACGATTATTCCTCTCTATGTATGTGTGACCACACATACATGTTTGTTGGTAAACACAGCGGGATGTGACATAACAATTTACGTGAGGTTGAGGTTAACTGAAGAGTTAGCCATTCGTAAACGTAAGCCCAAGTTGTGTGTTCAAAAACAATTTGCTGTTTCACTAAATTTACCTTGGTAATCCTTATTTGACTATCACTAAGACTAGTGTCATAACTATTTCATATTTATTATCATATTTGACCTTTAATTTTTTCATTTCCATATATAAGAAGGTACTACATCAATAAAAATGAAAACAGAATAAAAGAAGACTTACACAATAATAAATTCATAATGACTTGGTTTAAATCTACAGTTTGTATTAATTCATGACTAATTACATGATAAAGGCGTAGAATGGATTCACGTCGTATTGAAATCCACACACCATCTTTATGCCATGACATTGTTTGCACCTGTGCATCTTGAATTGCATGGACTTTAAAACTATTTTGAAAAAAAATTAAGAAAAAATAATAATAAAGCAAGAGCACTGAGTAATTACTAGCTCATTATTCAAATACGGTAACATTAAAATTTTAGCGTGGTTTTCAAACCACATGTCCATATTGAGCGATAGATATATGCAATTGGTTTTCAGATTATTTCATTTACAATGACTGCATAACTTTATTGAGTCGAAAATTTCGACCAACACTTCATCAGCTGTGCACCAGTCCGATACGCCACAGTTTACCCTGATATGATAAAACGGAAATCAATCCAAATGGAAATGGAAATATTAAAAGTGGTGAAAAAAAAACCCTAGAAGTTATCAAAATAACAGCGGATGAAATGGTTAGCAATAATAAAAATAATAATACAGTATGCACGTATCCGCATAATCACGAACAGTTTTAACCATACCGCATAAAACCATCAAACATCAATCTTGGATGTCTGTCTCACGGAACTCAACCAGGAAGTTAGAAGTGCCCTATACATATCAGATTGAGTCAGAGATTTCATGAATTGATCCTGAGATTTTATTCATTCAATTCCTACTTTATTTAGCGTTCTTTTACGAAGTAAACAGTTATACATTGCTCATTTCTCAACCCTCATAGCTGGTACACGTTCTCAACCTTATCGATTAACTTTCCTTGTCTAATAGTCTACGCTTTTCCTTAGCCCTACTTATTTTGTAATTTTATCGTATGTTGCTAAGACACTTGTGATCGAAAATCTATGAATTTCCTGTTATACACCTTTAGTAGTCATTCTCATTCAATGAGAAAAAAGTAATTGCTGAATAATCTGAACATAACTTGCTCTTTTCAAGATGTAATACTTTATAAGAGCACGGAGAAAATTATTGGGAGTCGGGTAGGGATATTTCCGTTTTCTCAGTTGAATACAAACATTCCCAGCTTTATACATCTAAAAGAGCATCCAGTGAAAAAATTATAACCTGAAGAGTATTCATCACAAAAAGAAATAGCTGTGTTACCGATTAGGTAAATCAACTATGTTTTCAACTATATACTCATTTTACTTTGGTAACAGATGGTAAATAACATTTAAGTGTTCGGAATTCCAAGAAAAACCAGTTAGAAGGAAAATTTTCCCTAGATAGTGGATACGCTGTACAATATTTTCCACTGGTCTACTTATTTTCTAAAATTGCATACAAGAACCTCAGGCGCATTTATTTTTTCAGTGGTAATCGAAGTAATTTTCATTTTTTTCTCACTTAATTCTGTTATTACTTTTAACCGATGACTGGTTTCATTATGCTAAAAAGTACCATCACAACACAAGGTAGTAATTTACGATTCGCGCTACAAGATGAGTCAAGTAGTCTTTGTTTGCCCGACACGCTACCTAAGTTATGTTATTTTTCTACATATGCTTAGACTGGATTTCTGACAGAGCTAGTAATACGTCATATAGCCAGACATGCACATAACCGAGACACAGCTGTTTTGTACCAGTTAGGAACAAGGGAAATATATCACAAACATTTTTTATCTTTGTATATATGAGACCATCCTACTGCATTCCAGATGGTACATCATAGTTTATAGTAGATGTATAGTTTGTGTACTTTGTCAACAGATCGTTACACAGACCTCGTGTCCTACACCTGTATTTTTTGCTTTCTAACGAACTTACAACTTCATGACATTTGACTTCGTTTGTTGGCTAGAATGGAATCCCTGAGAGGCTTTGATTAACACTGCGGAATCAGGTGTAATACTGTTAACAATATGTGAATGACAAAAAATTTAAATCGGATAACACAACAACACTCCAAAAGGATTCATTATGTTGACATCCGCTTTAACTGTGCTTTCAGCGCGGATGATCGTCAGTTTTTTAACAACTTTGAATATTAACAAATGGGAAGACATTATTTTACCTACATTTCGCTAGCAACGACCCAATATATTACGACAACGAAGAAAGAAGCAGTGACAAGTCCCAAACGTCTTAGGTCAACCACTTAGATTTCGATTACAGGTCGGTCTAAATATCAGTTTCTACGATTAAATAGGTCCGTGAAATGCAACCATGTGTTCGATGTGATGACAGTAGCCTGAATAATCCAAATATAAAGTGGTCAGTAGCCACATATTATACAAGTGTTTAACAGAATAACTATAACATAAGGAGGACCCTAAATCTTGTATAACAGAACTGGGTTAGAAGGCTTATATGACAAGACAGGAAAAAAAAAGCAGTGAATACTGTTGAAAATTTAAATTCCCCATAGCTCAACATTCTTTTGTTGATTCAATTGATAGTGACCTCTACTAACTAAGTTCTTCAGATATCTTGAAGTGCATTCAAGTGAAAATAAATGCGAACAACTATCGAAATAAGGACTATGAAAATAGATCAAGAAAATTTCGAATTGCGCTTAGATTTGAATCAGAACTCTTTAAGGTAACCGATGTTACTTAATACAGCATTAGTCCCAATTTAGATTCCTTTCAACTCTACTCCTCAGAACGGTATCAACAACTTGAGTCCGACAACAATAACTATTCTAGACAGGTTGATTGTAAATTAATCGACTTACCTATTTCCCTAACATTTGCTGAGTACGAATGGAATTAGAAGAACGTGGGTAGTTGTTGTGGCGAAAGTAAAGCAACCAAGCTAAATGAAATGGTAAAGAGCCTAGCCCGTTATACTCAGGTTGCCGACTTCAGTAACAGAGAGAATTTACAAACAATAATGCGGTCAGATAGACAAAATCAACATAGAACCTCACACACAAGTGCATCAGTTCAAGTTGCCACACTTCACAGTAACATACAAAGAAAAAGTGGATGGAAAAAGATTGATATCAAAGTAGACGGTGTATAAAAGGAGAAACGATTTGAGGACAAAGGTTCAAGCTTATTCAAGCTTAGTTAGACGTCAATAGAATGAATACATTTAGGTTACTGTAGAGAGTAGAGATTCTCAGTCATTTCATCAACAGTCCTCAACCAATGATTCTCAGGGACACTCCAAGCAAGTACATTACACCTCCCTAAACGGCTAAGACCAGCAGTGAGAATTTCACGCGCTGGCGTCACACCTTCGTCTAACCACTCGAAACCTTCTTATAATCTAATCCAACCTCCTACCATGGCAAGTCAAGGTAAGGGGTGGTTAGGCATGTGTATCACATGACCAAGCCACTTCAGTCGCTAAAAGGTCACAACCTCACCAACCGATTTCCCTTCCTTGTTTAATACCTTCGCATAACCTCTACAGTGTTCATACGGTGATTGCACTATACGGGGGCAGTGCTACGAAGAAACCTGTGGTCAAAAAGCAGTAAACGCTTCATGTCTTCAACTTTCATTGGCCATGTCTAACAGCCGTAGAACAAGACAGAACAGACTATACAGCAGTATACTTATCTTTTAACAAGTAGCTGAATATCTTGATGATACAAGTCAGTAATTGTCAAACAGGTATTCGTATGTGAGCTGAGGTTCCGTTAGCGAACAGCCCGTTTGCGCTGATGCAACTCCACAAGTAAGTGAAGTGGTTGATGCATTTCATCACTTCACTCTTTATCTTTGAAGTAGGATTACTTGCAAACCAGTCCTGGAGCATCATCTTAAATATGACAGGTGCGAAACGCATGCCAAGCATACTCAGATTTCTATCACTTGTCACGCGTTCAGAGTCTTCACCTAGCGGGAAAATGTTCTCTACCTTCTCCAAGTCCACTACGTGATCTCCAGGAAGTAGATCAATCCCTGTGAAGTCAGACGTATTAAAGGTTATGTTCACTGGTACACATACCTATGACGAAGTTAAACAGGAACGGTGACAACGAGCATCTCCATTGGTCACAGCTAGTTGTCGTCAATTCATATGAGAACTCTCCATAAGCCGTTAAACGTTTGCGTGAGTTTGAGTAGGGAGCTTTGATTAGCATCATATATTTGCTCGATATTCTCCTTACAATTAGATAATGCAACAGTACCTGACGGTTGATACAGCCGAATGCTGCCTTCACGTCAAAAAATATGGTGAGCATATATTACCAGTAAGAACGTCTGTATCCCAAAACTTGTTGAAAGGTGAAAATCTTATCAATACGCTCTCGTCAGGTTTCAAAACATGCCCAGTTTTCCCAACTGTGTTGTTCTCTAATCCAAGTTAGGTGTCGGAAATAACGCTACAAGAGCGTCATACTTTGTAACAAGCTAAGCATACTGTAAATTACTTGGGTTTGATTATGATAGCCAGAACACTGACTCAGCCCTATATAAATGAACTTTACATATCTTCGAACTGGTTACGCCGTCTAACAACGACAAAAGTGACTGCTGTTAGTTGGATGGAAGCTATCGGTTGGGTTACACTCAAAAGACCGGAACTATGAGAGGACAGCTCCCAAATGTGCGGAGTTAGGTTGAATGATATCGGTAGGAGACTGAAGATTGAAATATAATTTCACAATACCAATAATTGTTATGCAACTTACTGATAATGAGTGGAAACCTATTTTCTTTAAAGACTAATCACGCTTATGTGTATATGAAAGTTACGATCTAAAACAGAACAGATGGTTATTTAGCTACTAAAAGTGAGAGTGATTTTGTGTAATGAAGTAATCATCTATGGTAAGCCGAAATGTAAAATTGAATAACAAGTTAGTTGATAAGTGAGTGTAGATGTGGATTAGAAACAAACTTACAGTAAATTTGAACTGAGGTAAAACAAGAATTGAGTGCAATAGAATATGAAGGTTATAGGACTTGAAATTGTTATGTTGTGGTGATGAGCAGCAACCAGCATCAAATGGAAGTTCAGAGCCTCTTGCCGACCAACTCCTAACATCTAATACTAGTAAATATTTCATCATTGTTGAAGTGATAATTAAACAAAACTTGAAAAATAAAAAGTCATAAGCTGGATTTATGTTCCATTGGCAATAATTAAATGGTTATTGAAGATGATAGATATAAACAAGCAATCTTGTGGATTCAAACTTTTAAAACTTAGTGATTTTGGTTGCAAATAACTCGGTTGTATAATGAAGCAGTAAACAAAAACTAACTGGTCTGAGATCTGATAAATAATTGTGAAAGTTGTATCTGAATCTATAGTGTGATCTGCCTCGATCAGGTGCACATACACGAAGATAGCAACGTTTTTCACCTTTACTCACATATTTAAAATAAAACTAACTGTAGCTATTAAGCTAGGTATATCATTCTGAAACGAAGTGTTTCACTTTTGCTACATACACGAATCTGTCAATAGATATAAAAGGATGAGAATCTGGATGAAAAGACCTAATGATAAAATGTACATTGCAGTTTTCGATATCCAAAGCCCATAGAATATCAGACTGTCATTATCACTAAGGAAGACCTTTGTATACCGAGTCATGGAAATGCGTTGCTTCCAAGAGACTAATACAGGACCCCAGGAGATTTCAAACTACTGAACTTACCAGTTCTTATTAGTGACTTGCTCTGAGATGAGATTTCCCGAGATCCTAATGACAAGTGACCTGTGGGGTAAACCAAGTTGGACGTGAGGACAAATACTCAAACATGGTATTAGACTGAAATCGCACTATATCACGAATTGATAGAAAGTAGGGAAAATGTAGACTGATGGATTCAGACCCACTGGCACAATCACATTGGTTGCTAATTAAGCTAAGATGAAAGGTATCTTGCAAGTATACATATTATACAATGATAATGAACATATAGTGGTGGTTATCTGCATTCATTGGTCGTGAAGACGAGTGGAAACCTCCTAGTCAGAGATTGCGAAATGACTGAAATACGTGATTGGAAATTTTAGGATGCATGACTCAAAACCAATCACAGCAGAGCAGAGGCATTTTACACACTCGACTAGATAGAAATACCATATACCATTTAGCCGTTTAGTTTTTTTCTCTCTCTCTGTCTCAAGGCCTATCACTATAAATGATATTTTAACTTGTTTCACCTTTTTATTGTTAACTGTCAAATGCGATTATATGAAGTGTAATAAACTGTACCAATATGTTATTATTCTAGGTCCCATGCTGTAAATGCATGACAGTTTAGTGATCATCTTTTGTGATTTCACTCTAGCAGTTACTGAATCATGACGACTACTAACTTCTAGCATGAGACGAAATACTACTTAAATTGGTGATAATGGATATCAATCCGACAAATAAACAGGTAGATCATTTTGCTACTGGCCATTTCTCAAAAGAAATAGTAGAATTAGATAGTAGAATTTCTGTTTGGACTCAAATCATATGCTTGTTTGAGCGCGTGGTTATAACCACCGAAATAGGTGTAAGAAACATATAGATGAGTAATTTAATTCTAGATAATTTGAAGATGAAAACAAAAAGTCTATTCAAACATCAGCTGTAATCGGATGTAATGGGTTTCTGTGTTCGTATTTTTGTGATAGGCAGTTTTCGCAAGTTCCTTCCAACAATTGCTCCGAGAATGATGAGGACAGAAAGTATGTTAGGTTAAATGAACTTCAAAGGTTATCTCAATGACCATGAGTAGCCATGAGCTGTGAAATAGAAAGGGGTGACATATTGCATAACTTTAAGCTTTTATATATTTCCATTCAAAAGGCCACCTGGAAAGATGTTTAGTGAAGCTATCATGAACAAAGATGGATTCTAAGTAGTTGTTGTGGTTAGTGATTAAAATGTAAAAAACGTTTATATTTGGGTGAACACTTCGTACACAAAGTTCATTTAGTTCAATAGTGAATCATCCATAGCCTAAATAAAACATTCATCTGTAAAACTGAAGGAAGCAAGTTCAAATGTTTACATTCAAGTTATGACTTTTCGAAAAAATGCCACAGAAAAGTCAGAGACCATACCATTTAACATTCAGTTAATTGCATAAAAACATACAGAAAAAAATAACTTCATAATATGATGTTAAACTAACCAGTCTACTAGTTGTAGCGTAAACGCATTGATCACCAATATACGATTACGATAAGCAGCCCAAACAGAATTTGTCGAAGGTACGGTTATTGTACATTTGACAGAACACTGAGGTCGACCACAAGTAATAACACATGCCTCAGTAAAATCCCATGATCCGACAGCCATAATATTATCATTGTCCTCACAGAGATTTGAAGTGCTGATATTGTTGTGAGATTGTGCAGATGACGAAATATTGTTGTCTGGTAAATTACAGGATGAGCTGACAGTTGCTGATGCCTTAAGTGATGGACTAGATGTCGAATGATTAAGATATGCATTATTCGTTCTCCGATTAAGAAGTTGACGTCGAAAGACAACTATTTGACCATTTGCTAGACTAACAAATACTCGACCGGCGAAATGACTGTGAAAAAAGAATTAAAATTAGTTTGTTAGTAGGATAAAGGTTGGCAACAGACGGGAAAATCAGTAAGGAAACTGTGTGACTATAAAGGCCAGCCAACCAATTGCTGAGATAACAACTCAGGCCTCTATATTTCATGAAATACTACCTTCTAGCCGAAATACTAAAACCTCTTTTTTTTATCTCTGCAGTTGCTAGGGTGGCTTTAAAGTCACTTAATTTTTCGTAGTCGAGCCTGAAATCCGAGTGTATAGAACACAGTGACACAAGATCAATAAAAAATATAGTGATAGGAGTATAAAATCGAGTGACTTTAAAGGACACCCTAGCAACTGTTGAAACAACCAGCTGTGACTCCGTATTTTATGAAAATCTAACGTCCTAGCCAAAATATTGAAACCTGAATGCATGTTCCAACAGTTGATAGGGTGGCCCTTAAAGCCATCCTAAAAATCACATCTATTGTGCACCCAACAAGGGAGATGAACGTAAACAATTAATGCACGTCAATGATACAAGCTTTGCAATCGGTAACTACCATCATGGTACCTTACCTCACCTAGCATTACTGTGCAGAGATCCAAGTTGTTACACTTCAAGTAGGAAGGCATCAGCGTGGAAGATAAAAAAAAAGGAAAAGAAAGTAATCAAAAGTGATAGAAAGTTGCAGGAAAAGAGCAAAGAGGAATGAAGCAATTCTGAAATACATTGTGACGATTAAGGTGACGACATTGTGTGGATGCATCTGCGCCAGTGACGTCGACTCTGAGACATATCAACTAGGGTCTCCAACCACTGCATTTTATTGTTGCGTGGATCACAATCAGGAGGTCTACATTTTCCTAAGGGGCTGGAAACAACAGTTAGACACTTCACGGCAGAATAAGGCTTTAGCTAAGTCGAAAAAAATGATATGGCATTAATTTATGAAGTCCGTGACTAATCATCTTGTGTTTAAAGAAGTGTGTATGGCAATGTTGGAACGGACAGAAAGACAAATTATTGGTCAGTGTTTTCATGTAAACTGTGGACTATCCTTGATAAAAAGTGGTATACTATTGCCATTTGATTAGACTATTATTAACCAATGCCTGCATTAAACTTGGGAGCTTTTGGTGCAGTAAAATAAATATATAAATAGCTATATTCTAAGTGAACTTGTCTTGTCTTTTCCAAAGGGATAAATTTTGACTTCATCTGCATCATCCCAGTGTTATGGAGACAGTATTCCAGTGATTAGTATCCACTGTGGTGTGTCGAAGTTTTGTGGGTGTTCGACAAAAGCTTTTTAACTAATGATCCATCAATAAGCAGAAAACGGAAATCAAGTATCATTTGGTTACTTCAACCAAATGGCATGGGACCCTCAAGATATTAAAAATAAACGACTAGTCAGAGAAGTAAGAATGTATAAAGACCTCACGTAGGCTATTGTCGCTTCACATATCATGATGCTTTCCTAGTCATGATAACAGATGACTATAATGGCCTGAAAAACTCAAACGACGCAAAACATAATGACATGAAGAATAGGAAGAGTATAATACATACCATATTTGTGTTATCGAATCCGGTAAGCGTATGGCATGCAGACATTTACGCCATTCGGACATACTTGAGTGTACATAGAGATCACCATTATGGCAGCCCAACCAAATAGTTGGTTGTGCGCTAGTATATGATACAAAAGAACTAAAGGGATGTTCTGTAGAATGATTTTGATTATGATGAGTAGAGGATGAACATACATATTGTGAGTCGATGCCACTGTCATCATCAATAACGTTAGCAGATGAATGATCTAGTGGGAAGGTATTCAAAAAGTAAAATCATAGCAAAATTGTTGAATGTATAATTACCAGAGAAAAAATACACCAGCAAATCATACTTCATGGTTACACATATGTAAATTCCATCAACGTGATTCCGACAAAGAGACGAAAGTGAGAATATTAACAGATGCATTTTAAATTCCCCATATAAAACTCAACTGAACAATAGATTCACTTTTCATTGTTGATTAACTTTTAGGTGGATTTTTTAATGTAACAATACATTGAAACAATTAAGTTGGGAGTGGAGGCTGTAGACTGTATCGCGAAATAACTCAAATTGCTAAATAAATAACACCGACTTTCGAGTCCTAAGTTCAAATGTATATGAAGTCATGGATGAACATTGTTGAAGTTAGACAGGTGGAGAGAAATAGATAACAGAATCTAGAAAAATTGTGCAACGATTCAAGCAGCCATACTAATATTGGCTTGCTGTAGAAATCCATGAACAGGGAAGATAGGGGAATAAAAGTATCAGAAGCAATGAAAAAAAAAGTAGGTCAAAATAGATGATAAATAGAATATTTAGGTGACGGCAATGCATGTAATAAACAGCAACGCGCTAAAAGCGATTTTGTGCTACTCAAAAGCTCCAAACAACGATTTCAGTTCTTTCGTAGACAATCACCTAAAAAAGTGTTTAGATCATCAATCCGTGGATGTCTGAATTAAAGCCTCCCGATTTCCTAATTTTCAGTTGACCTTGAAGTAGCTAATATGTTCTAAGAAGACCTTTATCACTGATTCAATAAGATTATTCAACCCAGGACATAAAAATAGCATTGAGTAAAAACTTTAGAACCCGGAAAACAGGATGTAGTTTTGTTATGTGATTCAACTACTGATCGGTTAACTCAGAATACTGACTGAATAAAACTCTTTTATGAGTGAAGAAGTAATAAACAGCGGAATATGAATGACCTCAATCACGTAACTGATGATTTCGATCAAGTAGAAGAGTAACAACTGAATTCACTGGACGAATACGTTCATGACTGACACTAAACAACTGACCTCCGTCGACAGTAGGGTAAAATGTAGAGAAAGTTGCTTATAGTCTAGAGATGTGTTTAACTGCAAGAGATAAATGAATGCAACTATTCTACAGTATGTATACAGAGATTAGGTTGTGTTAAAGAATTTCAACGTGACCAGGTTGGATAGCGAAACAAATGAATACGTCATACAAAACGTTTTTTAGACTACAAAGTATATGGAAATGAATTAAAGCAAAGCTGTATTGATATTTTTTAGTAGTGAACATGAAGCTAACGTGTTTAGAGATCAATACCTAACGCCTTATAGAGATTTTAACTGAATATATTTGTCACTAGATTTACAGCATACTGTTGTTGTAACGGTCAAATATTGAGATGGAAACCTAGACAAACGATATTTATGACAAGCCAAGTTGATCAGAATGAGATCACATTCATCTTTAAGTTGTATCAAGAGTTTATTGTAATACAAGTAAAAGCTTTCGTCTTAATAATCAATCTCAGTTCAAAAAGTCACAAAATGTTTGTCTACTGCAAAATGATTAATGTGTACAGCTAAATACACTACAAATGAATGACATTCCTATCACAGACCATTCACCCCTTTTGTAACTTTGCATTTAAGGTAGTTATTTATAAAGAACCACTGAAAAAACTATGAAAAAGTGGACAGGTGTTTGCCTGTAGTTTAGGACTTCTCAGTTGATATTCTTCCTTGATAGGAACTGGCATTCAGATGAAAACACTCCATGAAAACCATACAATCGACTCTTCTTTTAATTGGTCAAACGAATACATAACAATAAACATGAAAATGTTTCACTAGATTAACTTACGACTATGCAATTCTTCAGTGAAATGCGCTCCACTACTAACACTGACATCACAATCTAAGTGGCGTATAAGAAAACGCCTTCTAGTTGCGACATAAGACATAGTTACTTCATCGACATCATTCACTGAACCAACAATACCCAGTGCATTTACCAACCGCCGCGTAGATGATAGGTGATCTAGTGCTTGTCGAATAGTTGATAGATGGGAAGACGATGACACTGAAGTTGGTGTTGGCGTTTTATTATACTTAATATCTTCATTAACTTTATTCGTTCTTTCAGGTGTACTACAATTTATAGAGTTATCACATTCAAGGTATTTAAATTCTGTAATAATGTTGGATTCACTTGTATTTGAAGGATGATCTTTTGCATTCGCTTGACTTATATCAGCATTTAAAGACTGACCAGTCTCTGAATCATCAGAAAAAGTATCCATCGGTAACATTTCCCAATAGCGTTTTGTACTCTCTAACGAAGCGAAATCTTCATCTGATGCTTCTAGAAAAAGTAAATTGTACATAAACAAATGAGACATAGTAGCTGATACATAAAATTATAATAATATTTCTTGTTTGAATTTGGTGCGAACTATATGTTCCGCTTACAACTTGTCAGTTTTGTGTATTCACATTTCACTCATAAAGCTGCAGTTGTAGATCAAGCCTAGTACGCACTATTCACTGGCCAAATAAGAAAAGAGCTGATATCCCAATGATACAGCAGAAGAAATGAAATCGGGTATCAGAGAATGAATGACAGTTTATCAACCAAACTGATATTTGTAATTCGTGATACCTTAGTGATATTTCATTTACGAAAGAAAAGTTGGCATAAAGTAAACAGATGGACCACAAAATTAGGCTGATTACTTATATGAACAAGAGTTTGCACATAAGACTAGGATTAAAATAATGAGAGAGATGTGAAAAGTTGGTCTAAGCATTCGACTATCAACGAGTAGGTTCAGGGATTGAATCCCACTCTAGTTATTTCGGCCTCCGCAACCAACTAGTATCGTAGAAAATCTTATGACAAACGTGGATCACAGCCTAACATGTAAACATGTACCAAGTCAAGTTACATGATAAGGAAAAGTTAAGAACCGTTAATTATTTAACCATTCAAAGTTACTGCAAATTTTAAACTGATTATACACGAACTTAGTCGAACTGATGAGTGTATGTGAGTCATCGGCGTCGACTATTGAGCATATAATAAAAAACGTTTCCAGTCATTATTATCATTTTTTCCTTGGGTTCCTGGTGGAACATAGGGCTTCAGTAGCACGCATCCATTGCACTCTGTTCTCTGAAGTCTTCAAAACCTGGCGCTACGACTGCCCAGCAGCTATCATTCTTTCCTCGCATGATCTCCTCCATGTCACCCACGGACACCCAACTCGTCGTTTCCCCTTCGGATTCCACTCGAGGGCCTGTCGCATGATGTTCCCAGTCGGCCTTCTGCGTGTATGCCCAATTCATCTCCACTTTCTTCCACTGCATATTTGATGGTTGATAGGTTCTTGGTTGGTTCGTTGTCAGTCAGAGTTCCTTGTTGCTTATTCTAATTACTGTGACCATCTGATCTTCAGTGTCAGCATCGAGCGCATGCAGCTGTCAAGGAATGTCTGTAGTTTGTTGGAAGTGCTTTTTCTGACGCTTCAAGTCTCTCAATCAAATAGCAGCACTAACTTGACATTAGTGTTGAAAATCCGGATCTTGTTCCACATGCTGAGTGCAGTAGATCTCCACACTGGTTTTAGGCTAATGAACACCTGTCTTGCTCTTCCGATCCTGGTTTTGACATTCTCATCTGTGCCACTGCCGCCTGTAGTTGAAACGATGCTGCCTAGGTAGATGGGTAGGTGGAAGAGACTTCTTCTAAGGTCTTTTCATCGGTCCAGCGTATGCCCATCTTCTCGCTCCTTACGGTTTGCTGCATGATCCAGTCCACCACAATCAGGAAGGTCATGGGTGATAGTAGGCAGCCTTGTCTTACTCCTGTCTCCACTTCAAAGGTGTCATTTCCAGTCATTACTTTTCATTATTTCCCTAGCTTCAATCGAAAGAGTTACACAAAGGTATTCAGAACTAGTGAATTCACGATTCCAGCATGAGTGTTACTAAAAGGTAGCAATGCATTTCAAAATGTTGCATTGTGATTACAAGTGCAGATGTAGCTCATTTGTTCAATCTTTTGATTGCCTGATTGCGTCCGAATCATTCATTCGGACGCCCGTATCTATTTGCTTCAATCTTGGGAACCCGGTTGTGTGACAGGCCGAAATGTGTGGTTCAGAACAGTATACAAACCCGTACTGGGTTACTGAAATGATTTTATTTCTAGTCCATTCTACTATAAGTCCATAAAACAAACGTTGGTAAAATTTACTTATAAAAAGGGTTGTTGTATGAACAAATAAAAATGAAAGACCTTAAAATTTTTTTACACGACACAATGCTTTAGCCACTGGATACGAACATGAGAAGGAACAGTAAAGGTAAACCCTGTATAACAGGAACCTGTCTGGACTGTGATCACGCCTTGGTGTGTTGTGCTAAGTTCATTTATCGTTTTCGTGGTCATAAAAATTATCATTTGAAAAAGGTTGTACCTACCATTGTAACTAAATACCAAACTAAGCTGGGTTCAAAGTTAGTCGTTAAACCTCGAGAAAGTATACATGAGCATTGGTTGAGATTACAATATGCCACGAAAATGGAATGTAAACTGCATATGGATTTTAGGAACATTCATTTAATAAACACTGCCATTTTATTAGGATGATGAGATTTTGGACAGGGAACTCATTATAATGTTTGAGAAGAAATAGCAGACTGAGTGTTCCATCATTTCGGAATGAGGCTACTGTTGTGGTGATCTGTAAAAAGGGCCTAAGTAATGCACGTGGTATCAGTCTGCTACCCGTAAAGTTTACTTGCTGTCATGCTACGCAGACTGCGTAAAATGCGTTAGAATCTGATCCGTGAGGAATAAACCGGGTTTCCTTCAGGTTGTGGACGCATCGACCACGTAGTCACCTTCCAGCGGACGTTGTAATACCGTCACATATTGCAGACTAACGATCGTTGCATTCCTTAATATTAGGGTTGTGTTCGATTCGGTAAACGGGGCTGTACACTATGATTGTCTGTTAGAGGAGAGTGTTCCTGAAACATTTGTTAGCGTCCTGAAAGCCTTATACCCCATGTGAAGTGAAGGCTTACAGCCGCCTATTTCCGTTGTTCCAAACCAACAGTATCACTAGGCATTTCATTTCTGATCAACTTTGCCATCGATAACATTCTAGAGACAGTCTTGAAGGAAGTGCATGGTAGTGGTGTAGGCTCCTCACCGTGTGTAATGTTTTCCGAAGTCAAGTACCCAGATGATATCGTTTTACTGCGCTACAACATACAAGCCACTCAAATTGCACTCAATCAGTTAGTGACATATGCTTAGTACCACCAAAGCGTGAAGTGCTTTGATAAGATTATTCCCGAACTCCCCCTTAGTGATGATTATATGGAAGTTGTCGAAAAGTTTGTGTACTCGGGTGGTTGTGAGAATGCTGATGGAGGTATTATTCACTAGATTTCCAGGTGTAGGTCAAAAAGCAAAGTGGCATTCACCATTCTGGGTCACCCTTGAGGGTGTCGTGATGTTAAATTTGCTGTAAAAGGTGGGGTATACAAAGTATCGGTGCAGGCGGTTGTGAACCACACCCATGAAAGTCGGCCTTTCTGAGGGGGAGATATCCAAGGGCTATGCAAATGCGACCACCGTTGTGTCCCCATGATTGCTGGCATTCAGTGAAAACACCATGTAGGTAATTCTAAGATAAGGTGGCGTGAGTTTTGGCGTGATGGAGATGGTTATTCATTGGCAGTGGTCATCTTCGAACAAACGCTTCGGTGGTTCGGGTATTATATATGTTGTCCCACTGCCCCCAATACAGTTCGATATTGGTTTGCCTCGGGACTAGTTGAAAGAAGCGAAGCAGTGATCAGTGGGGGTGAGGGATGGAGAGTTGTGTTAGTCTAGCCACCTGAGGATGCCTCATGACTTCCTGGATGGGGTCTGAGAGATCATGTAAATTAGAAACTTAAGATAATAGCAAATATGACTCATAATAGTAACTAGTGGTGAACGTGTTGGAGTTTTCTTACTTCTGCTACTGAAAAGTAAGACAAAGGTAGTGAGTGTCTCCTTGAAACTACTTGTTGAATAAACCACCTATGTCTATTTCCATTCTCCCCTCCATTTCCTATTTCTTCACAAATGTTAATTTATTAATTTGTATGGCAGATCTCTTGGTGTCCACTTTGTGCCAAGTGTGTTTCAATGGTAAAATTATAATATAATGCGTGGTTACGGTTTTTCAAAGGATCTCTGATTGATTTCAACCCGTGATGAAAAACATTTTGAAACAAATCGTTCCCCACAAATCTTCAAGTTAAGATAAACCTGTTCTGATTCCAATCGCTAACAAACTTGACACACAAATGTATACTGTTCTCTAAGATATAGTCGAACTTATTTGAATATTTTGTTCCAACGATAAAGGCCTCAGTTGCAATTAGATGATCATAGATAACAAGCATACACTAAAACTAGGATGTAAGGGATACGATAAAAATCTTTCTCTTTCCTCATAGATTGCATGTTTACACAGTACAAACTACGATACACCTATACGCACAATCAATATCTAATAGGAAAAGAAAGGCACACAGGTAGATTTGTGAACCAATCTGAACGCAACGAAAACATATCATATCTTGCACGAATATGCAGCAGAATAAATTAAGAGTAACCCAGACATCCTAAAATAATTTATATGAGGAAATTTATTGACCCAATAGTTGAGGATTGAATATATACACTGCTGAACCAATATTCCATGGTAGTGATGAGAAATTAGTAAATTGAGGATATCTAATAAAACATGCATACGGTTGTGAAACAGAAGTGTAAAACTGACTACAGTCAAACCGTAAACTTAGTTATTGTTCCCTTAGATGAAATGTTAGACAATTCATTCGACATACCACTAATTCGACTTGGTTTAAAAATGCTTCGCTGAATGATACACCGTAATGTTTGATTATCTAGGGTGATTGCAGAGATTTCAACCTTCAAAATTAAGTCGATAACAATGAGAAAACTATGGACATTTGTTACCTTTGAATTACCGATAAGCGCAAGTAATGAATTCCTAAAACAGTAGGTCACAGAATATGGTGAATGATACGGGTTTCAGCATTTGAATTACGACGAGAATTTAGATAATGAAGGCTGGTAGTAGATAGAAAGCCTAGATTAGAAAATTTCTGCCAACTGTTGCCAACTTGTCGACTCAGGGATATCAATTCGTAAGAAGAATGAGAGGGAATCGCTATCAGTAGGAAGGGTGAGGGGAGATGGTGAGTAGGTAGAGCATGCATTGAAGATTAATCAGGTTTTGAAGATCGCTGCTCAACATTTTCTTCTCCACCTTACTTAGGGACGCAGAAATAAAAGGTGATTAACGTAACAGATGTAGCGTTATACATTTGGAGAGAACAATGGAAGATAAGTTTTTCGAAGAGATCAAGTGAAGCCTATCTTACCAGAATGCATATGAAGTTGAAAAGTGTATTTCTTCTGGTAGTAAACAATAATTCCAACTGAAGAGAAGGCATACTGCACACACATGTCAATAACAATGAGAAGTTTTAAACTTCACGGAAGACTTACGGTTGTACTGAGCATAAAAAAGAGGAAACATTTTTACGTTCAATACAACTCAGTAGCCATCTTCGTCCTCAAACCGGATAGAATGCACTCAAACCTGTAAAGCAATGATTGGTAATACAGACGACGAAGGAACATATTAGCATGTTCTGAATAAAATGCAGGCCTATTGATCAATAGGAGTCCGGATTCGACTTCAACAAACAATATATTACGTTGATGTGGTAACTTATGTAGGCTGGTCGTACATGCAAAGCAAATAAACGTTTTCAAAAAAACTAACTTAAATGTTCCATGATAACACGTTATATACAGAAAGCAATGTGTTCAAGCAAATGTACAGTATAAATAAGCTAGTTCGTTGTTTTTTTTTTTAGATAGTAGTGGCATACAGTCTTATGTTTTGGGGAAAAAGATACTATGGAATCTCATCAAATACCAGGGAAAAACTCATGTTTGAGTTTTGTCTTTGCAAGGTTTCGAAAGCAAACAGATATACAGGAAGCAAAAGAAAAGATAGTATTGATGTCGAATAACAAAATGCAAACTATTCGAAAGCTATAAACATGACATTCGACAAAAACGAAATCATATGATATTTCGCACGAATCATAGGTAAATTGGTAAAACTGAATTTATGTGCACATTATATAAGCTTGAAAAATGTACGGCACAAATACATTTTACAAACTTAACAGTGCTGTTTGTACTTATTTAGAGAATAGGTCAAAAACTGAATTATTTACAAAAACAGATACAATGATATAGAATTCTACATGTAAAAGATGGTTTACAATTAAACGCAAATAAACAGATATTGAAATCAAAGAGAAGAACACATGACCATCATGCTCACAGATTTTAAATCGAGTTTCTTAAAGTTTATAATCACTAAGTAGTATCACATTCAAAGTCACGTTAAGACTCAGTAACGACAAGGGCAGTCAACATTTCTTGACCAAATCAACCGTATCCTTTTTATTGACTTAATCTTGCTTCATTTAATCATCGGACAGAAGAGTAAAAGGTGGCTCTGCACATGTAACACATTCCATTCACCTCAAACGATAAAGATTATCAAAAGATGAACTCAAGAAACTGGAAATTGAAAGTTTGTGGTTAATATTAACCTGATTTACATAGGATTCACTTAGTAATGTCTTCAAACGTGCAGTGAATGATCTGTATTTCTCAGTTAAACAGGAATCAGCTAGCTTCATTTGAAAATCCTTTTGGATTTATTTCATAACTGTCACAGTCTACAAACGTTTGATTGACGACTTCTTATAGACTACCTCGAACTATTATATATTTGTTAACAGTTTGTTTTTTAGTTCTTTCGATAATTCAATAAATATCACTCAAAAGCATCAACAAACACTATGAAAGTGAAGCAGTGGACAGCTGATAGCAAAGCCATTGTGATAAAATCTTGAGGCATCAAGTGATTTTTTAATCCATTACGGTAGTAGTTGTAGTATATATGATTAAAGTTGATAGAAAAGAGTTCATGAAGCATGCCCAATATAATAAACCATCACATTATAAGCAAAGTATGCAGCATGGTAGTGATACATTCACACCAATTACTTGCGTGTCATAGTAGTTATATAAGTACAGACGGGGTAAGACAAATGCGACTTCCAGTTGTACATCAAAAGCTACAGTGATATTTGCCAATCTAGATCACCTTTGACATAGTTTTGATGTTAATCTGAGAGTAAATAGTCGGGTGTATAGCACTTAATTGCGGACGTTTTCTTTCTGTATCTCAGACATCTGGTTTACCTAAGTGTCCAATGATTATTAATAACGCCACTAGTGTCTTTGCATGGCTTCTGGTATCCCGTATAAACACCATGAAAGTAATTCTCAAGTTAGACGATGCGTGTTCAGTTGTAATGGCGATCATCATTTATCAATTAGTATTAGCTTGAAACTCTAGCCCAACGGTTTTACCATCCCGAGGACTTCCATACAATTCACTATTTGTCAGCTCTAGTACTAGTTGTCAGTTTGCGACTTGTCACCATAGGATGAAGGATATTTGTATTAGGTTAGTGTCTGAAGACTCCCTAGGTAGTGTCAGATATGATACAGAATTGAAATCGGTAACTATCGTGCTGCAGTGTTTCGTTTTCTTTAAAAATTAGTGTAACTTTATTGAATGCGCTTAGAGAACAACTTCTTGCATTCTAATTCTCACCATTATTTTATATCGGTCATTTCATTCATACCTTCATAATGTTGCTTTATTGTCTTGCATGGCGAGGTTTTAAGCACTCATAAGCTTGTATCAATTAAAAAAAATATAACAACCACCATTGGTCATATTCACTTTGATCTAAACAGAAATAACCCTATATTCTCAACAGACAGTCACGAAAATGACTGATAACTTACGAAAATCAGTTTCTGTGTATTCATCCATAGTGACGATAAGTTGCCCCCACTACTCATCTAAATATTTATTCAATGCGGTATAACATTACGGGAGACCATTTATCAATAGTCACCGATCAATTTAGTGTAATCAAAGACGAAGATGCACAAGCTGTAACATCACAACTATCTTATACCCACCGCACAAGCAGTGGCTATCGTGACTCAGTGATTTGGTGGATAACGCTCTGAGGTTTCAAGCGAGTGGTCCAGGGTTCAAGCCTTAGTGGAAATGACACCACTCACTGGGAAGGAGGTGACGAGTCTCAAGTAGGACGAAATGCGCGTCTTGGATCCCTTTGCTAGCCACTATGCACCATCATTATCACTAAAATGCTGAAATATTACAGATGAAGGTAAACAATATGATTTAGTGCATGTATATTATCGTAAGTGTTTTATCAACACCTGAACGAGTTCATGAAAAATGTGTAAGGTTACGTGGTTGAATCAGATAATCTTAAGAACTTTTGATATACGGCAGTGACTGTAAAATATTTTGAAAATGCGCATTCATTCATCCCATGACAGTGCGATGATGATTTGAGTATTGGTCAGACATAACAACCTAGAATTATACAATCTACCAATTCATAAGCCATAGCTTACGGGTATGGATATTTGAATTGCAGCCATTCAGCTACAACTATGAGCCTTGTTGCGTCTAGCGAGGTTATGACAGTTAGCTTGTGTCATCAGCTTTCAAAAACGACGTGTTTTCTCAGTTACTTGCAGAACTGTTACGGTGTAAATTCAAACTAGGTCATGAAGTCAAAGACTACTGATATGAATCATTTGCATGAATGTAGATTATTCGGAGTGCCTAAACAGTATACATCGATAATTAAGTGATCAAAATAGACGTCCGTAGCACAAATCTTCATAAAACATCAACCTATTCCATCTTTTTATTTCAAAATTAACACCTTATTCCTTTTGTTAAATTTTTTCAGCCTACCGTTCCAAGCTATTTTAAACAGGCATAAAATATGATGTTTAATACTAAGAACATGTAGTTTAAGAAAAATAACGTATGTGCTTAGATCATCGATATAAATAACCCTAAAATAATGTTTTAAGTTATTATTCATCGTAGACTGACATCAGTTGGAGGAACAAAGGAAACCTGGGAGCACTGGACAGCTGTTTTGTCCTAGTATGGGACTTCTCAGCAGTGTGCACCCTCGATCCAACCAGGGATCGAACCAGCGACCTTCGAGTTCCGTAGCCAGCACGTTACCATTGAACCATTGGGTAGAAATCCAACGGCCCATATTTCCAACTTCTCTTAGCTCACGACATAGCGCAACCGCCACCCAATGTAACCGTTGAATAACTGTCCTCACGACCATCAGGCTTTGTCCCCACCGGTCATTGCTGGGGAGTCCCATTACTAGGAGGAAACAGCTCTCCAGTGCTCCCACGTTTCCTTCGTTCCTCCAACTGATGTCAGTCCACGATGAATAACAACTTGAAATATTTCCAAATCCGCACAACTCCCTCAAAATTCTAAAAGAATGTGCTGTATAAGGTTATATACATGACCTACAGTGATCTAAAGCCCGATGAAGAAAAATGGAAAAAAGTAAACAGAAAGAACATGCGATAATCAGTTACCTCCTGGCATTACACATAACTATTTACATGTATGGACAAAACTACCTACCTGGTGCAGCGCATATGCAAAGAACTGTTGAACTACAGATAGCAAAAGAATCTAATAACTGACAAGATGAATTATCCATACGTAAAATTGTAATTAAACTTTTAATTCTTGAAGAATACTCTGAACTAAATGTGGTTGCAGATGATGAATATGAAGTATAAACAGAAGACTGAGCTTTGAATACTGCCAGTTCTTGTTTCATAGATGACGAACACAACCAGATAATATTTGAATGAATATCTGGAGACTACAATACAAATTTAACATTCCATAAAGAAAAGTAATACATTAAAAGAGACCATGGAAAACAGAACATGAAATGGTGCATTGAAAGAATAAGAATCTAGCACAAAAATACGTAGTGATAATAAACATAGCTGAATTAAAGGAAAGACTGTAAGAAATGAAGACCAAGTTGACTGCTAAACATCCTGTACCTATGTGTCACCATAGCACCATAGCCACTAGGTATACATTATGCCTATCAAAAAAATTGGTTTTCATCAATGAAATGTAAACTCCCTTTTATGCAAAAAATGATGCTACAGTTTTTAAATCAGAATTACAAGTTAGAATCAACCAAACAGATTCATAGAAACAAGGCGCCCACCCATCAATTCCTTTATGAGATGTCAGTCACGGAGGAGAAGATATTAAGCTTCATATCTGACATCCTACGAGATTTACCTTAAAATCGACCATTGTAAATTATGCTTCACTTTTTTGTCTGCATCGGAACTGTTTAGTACCCCATAATTGAACTGCTGTTTAGTTGAATTTTCTGTTTAACCTGTTTAGGAGTGCTAGGCTCTATCTAAGTTTATTATATGTTGACTGTAATGCAAAATAGCTAATGCTCGATTATGGTTTATAAGCGGGGGATCATTATTAAATTAAAAGGTGGGTTTATTCAAAGAGTAACACTGGACACCTATTTTCATCCAATCTTAATATTCTTAAAAGATATCGAAATAGATGGTCTAAGTTGAGTGGGACTTAAAAATTTGAGCGTAAATGTATCTGAAGGGTTTACGACTTATATAGCGTCTTGTGTTTTTTTATTGTGAAGATTATCATCATTTATAAGGTCATTCTCATACGTTATTGACCTAATAACACAAGGGAATTAGTGAGTAATACGCACATATAGTGCATACGTAGACTGAGATTGCAAACCGAAGTTCAATAATGTGAAATAGCTTTTACTGTTGTATCCTGATCAGAGTCAAAAACCAGATCGCGCAGACTCACTTACGTCCTACATAGACCTTTTTAGAAGTTGGAAAAAAAGCATTACTGCAAAAAGTGTACCAAGTGACATTTGCGCTATAAGTCTGCTTACTTGGACGACATTTACGGGAAATGATATCTCAGGAAGAATGAGTAAGTTCGGTGAATATTAACAAGCGACTTGAAATTACCATGTACCTATCAAAATCCAAACATACCGCATCAAGATACAAGGCAACAAGAGTGAGGTCAAAAAATCCTAAAAACTGTAACTGAAAGTCATAGAAACCAATGAAACAAGAAGAGGCATAAAGGCAAATAACAAAATCTGATGTAGCAATTAAGATGAAGATAAGGTGTAGTTACATCCTCCACTGTTCGGATCGATTCTGAAAAATATCACTAAGAGTATTCAACCGCCGGCGTTGGTTGTTATGTGAAGTGTAACCTAGATGTTTACACAATGCTACACGGCTTAAACACAGTCGGAGACTGATATCATGTTTTAGTCTAGCTGTAAGGTCAAGGTGTCGTGACACTAACTGATCTGCATAACACTACATGGTTTAGATCCCAATTTAAACTAGAAAAGTACTCATTTAATGTTACTTTCAACTGCCTTACAACTTAAGATGAATTTCCAAAAGTATGTATGCTGAAATAACAGCAAAATTTACTTATATCGATGAAAAATTTGTGCAAATTTACATAATTCCCCTTTTGACTCGTTGTAAATTCTCTTATCTTTTTTAAATACCACGAGCAATGGGAATATATTCACTTGCTTGTTGCTATTTCCTTACATTACTGTCAAAATCGACTAGGATTTTAGAATCTCTCATCTGACTTTTACTTTGTATGTACTTATTCTGTTCAAATACAAAGTTTATTCATATCTTAAGATAAGCGATCACGCAAAATGAATCTACTTTATTCTGCAAACTTTATTCTCTTTGCTTTTACTTTCACTGTTTACATATGTGATTACCAAGTCAGGTAAGTGTACGAATTTTAGTTCTGTTCAGGAATTAAATTTGTAAAAAAGTGGTATAGTGTGTAGAAAGATTGAAAAAAAATCTTCATCACAAGCCTAAAGCCTTTTTAAACTAACCGCTTTCATTCGAAGTTTCAGGAAAAAAACAAGTGAACCAACGTGTAAGTATAAGGTTTGTTGAAGAGATGATGAATCGACGGAATTTAAATCTAGTAGGCCTGGAAATAGTTAAGGCCATTATTATATATATAAACCTTGTAGTTTGTATATATTGTTGAACGCTGTCGTTGACGTCGTAAATACAATTTCTGTCATTATACCGCCTTTCCCACTTGACGACAAACTGGGCAACTGGCAAGGGGTGGAATTTTAAGGTGACTGTACACACATCCACATATACATAATTCAGTCGCTGGTAAAGATATGTAAAAGTGGTTAATGAAGGAAACAAAAGGCGAAAGTTTACAATTCCTATCATAGGGTATGAAATATTGAATATTCAGGATTACACTAACAATCACATTCCATATTAGATTCATGTATTTGATATGTAGCGCACAGTGATACAGTATTGTTTACTTGATGACGTTTCGAGCATAAATTATCATTGCTCATAATCATATTGATGTAATCAAAGTCCTTTCTATATCTGATTTTTACAGTCATGTCACCTGATATTCTTTGTTTTCATTGGTAGTAGGATATCCCATAACTCTGTCATTGGTGTTGCGTCATTCCAATTACGTGTGTTGGGTGTTGATTCGATGAACAAAGATTCACTAAGTAATCTCCTTCTCCATCTAGTTATACTGGACTTACGTACAGCGGGTTTTTTCCCACCCTAATGTCTGGTTGTGTGTTAATGCATGAATTGTAATAGCAGTTTTTTTCTAGTTTATTGATCTTATTGGGGTCTGTCATTATGCTGAATAATCTTATAAAAACTGGGGTATTGCAATGCATGCATTAAAACACAACCACACAATAGGGTGGGAATAGCCACTGTACTTAAGTCGAATATAATTAGGTGGAGAGAGATTAATTACTGAATCTTTGTTCATTGAATCGACATCCAGCACTTGTGATAGGAATGATGCAACATTTATACCAGAGATATGAGAGATTTTATTATCAATAGAAGAAAAGAATATCAGGTGACATGATTATAAAAATCAGATGTGGAAAGTTATGTGATTACATTGATGTGATTATAAGAAATAATTTATGCTCGAAACTTCATCAAGTAAATAATACTGTATCACACTGTGCTATATATCAAATAAACACATCTTATATGAAATAACATCCTATCACAGGGCTCACGTTTTACACTTATATTAGCGATCATATTGATTATGATTTTTATCAAAAAATATCAAATTTCCAAACAATAAATGCGTTTGTATGATACCATGACATCGACTTTACCACCTAGGTGTCGAGTGAACAGCATATTGGATAGTGATACCGTCAAAAGTATCTAATGCACAAGATCAGGTTAGATATTCAAATACACTTAATTCACGTACCCATATAAAAGTACAGTCTAAACACAGTGTAGTTCCTTTTTAGTTTGTTTATAAAATAAATCATACAATGAAACAGAGTTTTTATTTATTGAATAACATTTTAGAAATAATTTATGGTCTACATTCATATCAAGGTAAGATTTTCCATAAACCGTAGATGTTGGAAATAACTGTACTCCTAACTCAGTGCAAAAGTTTGAGATCTTGATCGGCATTAAAGTTGTTTATGACCGGTTCCAGAGATATGCTAACCAAATGAGTCCATATGTTAGATACAGCAAAACTAACTATTATCTGATAGACATCTAATGGTATATCACCTAATCTGTTTTCATTCATAACCAATGGAAAGTCTAGGTTCTGAAAGGTTTCTAATTAGATCTGGTAACGCGAATAAATACTTAGACAAATCATAAAGCGGAATATCTATAAAGTTTACTGTGAGCCAGATAAGAAAACCTGTCTTACGAACCATACCAGTGCCACACATCCTACAGGAATAATTAGTTTCCGGAACTAAATCCAACCATTTTAAGTCGCTTAGGACTACTTTCATTTGGAACATTATTCACACCGTGAACTTCTTATTCTTATTCATAACAGCATACACTCTGGTAAGATAAAGAAACCAGGGAAAAGCTTAGTGACAGCCACGTATGGAATAGGACAAAAAAATGTAACGGAGTGAAACTAACTTTGTTTATCAAATCGGCACTAAACATATTCAATAAGAATGACTCAATACTTACTTCAGATATATTTTGATACCACTGATAAAAAGGAGGGAGAACTAGGACTACACAAACCATATCTTAAAGTTTTGGAGTTACTATGACATCACTTCACCTAAACATTTTCAGGACCAGAGCCAACTGAAGTTGCCGAATATCAGTACCCATATAAGAATAAGTTGTTTCACTGCCTCATCATGTTACATGGTAGTGAAGAGCTCATCAATCGAAACTCACCCTCAGAAGTGGGTTATTCTGACCCATTCTGAAAAGACCTGAAATATCTTAGTTATTCTCTTCGAATAGTGCCTTACAGCAAAAACTGTTGAATTTATGCACCGTCTATATTAAAATATCTTAACAAGACTTGTCAGTAGATTCACTGACGATTTAATTCAAAAAAGACACTGAGAGCATCATCAAAACACCTTATTTTGGTGTGTTATTCACCTAAGAGGTAAAATGTTAACACTGCTTTCGCAGTAAACTGCATTCTTGTCTATCTAGTCCTTCCAGTTATTGATAAACTGCCCCAAAATAGTGGATTATTGAACTATGAGAAAAGATGCATAAAAATCAAATAGCTTCATCACAAAATCACAGTTTGAGTTGATGAAGAAACTTATTCACAAACTATTAATAACAATACAGGTATGCACATATGTACAACTTACTTCATCATTTATCAATGAATAACCCAAAGTGTTATAACTGGGTATATTATCGACTGAGTGGTTATTAACAAATTTCTTTGAAGCTTTTGTTGTAGACTGGATCTGCAGCTGTTGATGTTCTTCTTCGCGTTCTAAATTATCATGGGCAGAAACTTCAGTATCACTGTCAATACAATTATCAACAGACTTCGCTTGATAACTACTAAGGTCTGCCGAATGAGCTTTATCCATTAACGGTGAAGATAATAGCAATGATGATGAAGATAGAGAGGATATAGTGTTGTGTGGATACGCAGCTGCTGCACACCGTAACTATGTAGAAAAAAAACACAGAACACAATAAACACATTGAGAATATACAAGAAATTTATCCAACTAAAAATTCCGATACATATAAACAAATCAATGTAAAACCCTACATAGAAGTGCATCGATTTTATTCAACAAACTTCACAGTAGCAAGCGGAGAAACAGGGTAAAAAGAAGTGATGTTTAACAAGATTAAATGGGTGAAGAAAGGAGAAATGAGTGCTTAGTAAGAATGTTAGAACTTTCGAAGATGGCATAGATATGCCACTGTAACCGGTTTTACGTCGTGGAACCAAGGCACTCAAATTATAGATTCCTAGACGGATGGTCTAAAACTCCCTGAATGGCTGACACCAACAGACATAGACTGATATAACGTATTGGTTTAGCCGCTCTTAGCCTTCTTCCAACCCAATCCTAATCCGGCTTAAAATGCACTATTAACGCAGACGTTAGCTCAGCACGCAAAATAATAATTCAAGCAGCTACTCCAAAAATAACAGCATTCCTTCATCAATCCTCTCCAATGATGGCTGATAGCTGTATAATCTATCGACATCCATGTTTCCGAGATGCCCTTCCGAATGGCTCAGCTCTACTTGGACACTGAAGTCTTCTGCTATTGTGACTGCATCTGAAAGTTTTGCTTTCTGCAATAAAATTGGTAGATTATGATGGAATTTATTCTTTACATCAAACTAACTGCAGTCGATGGGGGCGTAGGCGGAGAATACGAATGGGTGTCAGTGAGTGTCATGATCCTCCCCAGTCATTATAGATCCATCCGGTCAAACAGCACACAAACTGCTGCTGGGTGGTACGTAGTCGAAAAGTGAGCTTTCTGATATAGAACTCAATGCTATGCCTACACCAGCAAGCCAACGACAGCAAACCATTGAGTACGTGGATACTCGTAAAGTGGATTTCGAAGATTCCCCGAAACGCCTAGGTGAGGTCCAGTGAATAATTACACTGGAATCCTGTACACGTGTCTCAGAAACACAGCTTGGGATTCCACAGTTCTGGCTAGCGATATCTTCTGTCCTATTCAGCGTAGGTTTCGCTTGTTGAAAGCTCCAATATCAAATCGACAGCTGAGTCTTAGGACACTAGGACTGAGGTTTTGGTGGTTTGGATCGCTTGTAATAGTCATAGAGTGAGAGGTTGGGGAAGGTGTAATAGGCTTAATATTGGTATCAGAAAGGGGAGATAAGTGAAGAGACAAAGGTAAGGTAGGTATGTTACAGCAAGTTGAGTTTTTTAAGCTACTAGGAACATCCAAACGGATGGCACTTCCCGGTCGGCCACACCGTGAAAGCTGTCTCTACGAGGCACCTGAAAGAGAAGACGTATTTGTTAAGAGTGACCACACAGCCCTGAGGTCAACCACGTATGGTCATTTTAAGAAACTATGATTGAGATTTGATCAAGCTACAGTTGGACAAGAAAAACCATACCAGCGGCACTGGAACAAAGCAAGGCTCAGAGATAAGTTATTTTTAGGACTTTCCGATTTGCAGACAGCATCGGCATGGTACTGCTGTTCATCTATGGGAAACATCTTACTGCAGTCACATTCTATGAAGCTAGTAGAACGACTTTACCCTCGGATCTCCAACATAAAGTGGTAATTTACACTACGACGGTAACTGTTTTTCGTTTTATCATTATCCAAAAAACCTTACTCGTATGGTGGGACCTCAATGAACAAGCGCTCTAGCCAGTGTAGATGGTTGGGTCAATATTGTAAAAGGCAAGCTAGCGTCTGTCTATCAGGAAATAAGACAGAACAACCATATTTACAAGTTATCGAAATTTCGTAATGAAAACTGTACAGATAGAGGAAAGAGAATGGAAAAAACCCAATACCTTTCTTATATAGGCGATAAATATAGGTAGACAAATATGGTCTGCTTAAAATCATGCCTGATATGGTACAATTCAAAAGAACTTTGGAAAATCAGTATATCAAACAACTACAGTTGAGATATTCTTTTCCCTCCTAACACTTTCAAAAGGACGAATATTTATCATTCTAACGGATATGATACTCTGGTAATAATTATTTGATAAAATCGAGTGTTGTATGTATATAAATTATTACAACTTTCAACTTGTATGTCCTGTGAGTATTGTAGTTCAAGTAGAAGGGTATTCGAGCAAATTTTCTTTTGTGAAAGTTAACTGTTGGCCAATGTAACCAGGTAAAAGGCGATAATCAGTGACAATTGACATCATCATGCGGGAGATAATTCCTATCTTATTATCGTAAGCATCACAGGCATAATGTTTTCTTACGCCTACTGCCAGGTATAAAGTTGTAAGCTCTTCGTTAATTGAAATCACCCAGAACTAAAACATGTTTTTCTCATGCGCCGATAAGAAGTTAGTTGGTCAGTGTAGTGAAGTGACACAATTGGTGATAACTGAGTTGCTTGAACTATTACTTTATATTATCAATGAAATAAGTATTTAAGATGCATCAATGTTAAATGATACACAAACATTAACAACTTGTATATAATATTGGTTGTAGTGTTGAGGCGAGGGGATTCAAATCAACAAAATAACTTGAATTTTGAGGGAGTTGTGCGGATTTGGAAATATTTCAAGTTGTTATTCATCGTAGACTGACATCGGTTGGAGGAACGAAGGAAACGTGGAAGCACTGGACAGCGGTTGCGCTATATCGTGAGCTAACAGAAGTTTGAAATATAGACCATTAGATTCTGACCCAGCGAATCAATGGTAACGTGCTAGCCACGGAACTTGAAGGTCACGGGTTCGATCCCTGGCGGGGTCGAGGGTGCGCACTGCTGAGGAGTCCCATACTAGGACAAAACAGATGCCCAGTGCTCCCAGGTTTCCTATGTTCCTCCAACTGACGTCAGTCTACGATGAATAGCAACTTGAAAATAACTTGAGTTTACTGAAGGCAGCAGGTAGTTTTTTCAGATATGCTAGCAAACAAGAAACTCAGATATGAGATTACGTTCAACTGCAGTATGATTAAGCAACATGAAATTACTGCTTCTCACCAAAGTAAGAACTCAAGACTTTACACCTGAAACATGCATTAAATCTATACAACCCCTTCTGACTCATATGCATACACACGAGCAAAGTGCATGTAGAAATATAAACGTACCTAAAAAGCATCAATATCTAAACCAGTTAGTTCAACTTTGTACTGTTTAGAAAATGAATCAATTCAATGAACTTGAAGAATAATAACTGGTATAAACAAAAAATTCCATTTTCAATAATTGTTTAACAGTAATCAGTACTTGTATTTCATATTACAAACAAACTTTTCGTGATGTAACCAAAATGCACGTTACGTTTCAAACGTGTACAATCTACACAACAAACTATTTCGTACAAAACTGAATCTGATGCCGTGAAAAAACGATTCTGATGTGAGAATAGGGACTGAATAACAACTTCAGCAAGCAAACCTATATACACTCTAGATTGATGGTCAGTAACTTTAAGACTTGATTACATGCGTTATCTTACTTCAACGAAGTACCTTCCAAGAAATTGACTCAAGCTAACGGAGCGAGCCATGACGTACAACGGCTTTTTCACTTGTACCAATCGTTCGGACCCTACCGACTAATATATATATTTACAACACCATTTAAATCAATAAATTTGTGTGCTGTTAATTTTACACCAAACTTTAAAAATACTTCTGAAGCGCATAGGTGGTAACACTTTAACTCGATAAACTGCAATCTTTTCGTGCTTTTTACCTAAACAAATATTATTTACAGCCATATAGTAAAACATAGCACATTATTTAGTTGTACACACAACTCTCAACGGATATACAGATCGTCAAAAGGTGTTACAGGTGTCATAAGATTGACTAAAGGATGACGATAGGATTTTTTGCAAATTACTTCTTTAGGACTAGTAGAATTTCTCTGTGAAAACAAGTGCTTAACAGTTTCAGAAACTTTACTTACTTAAACTTAAAACAGGTGTAGGAAAAAGCTTTTCGTGTGACGTTACTTAGCAATTTGTAGGAGAACAAAATACAAAAATGCATACATTTTCAAAGTGTTAAGAAAAACCAATGTTATCGCTGCACACACGAAGATATTTGGGTTAAAATGTTCCAACGATATACACCTAATTATTCGACATGTTATGTGAAGCCATACTCCTTTCTTGCACAATACAAGAATATACGAGATAATAGCATGAAAAAAGAAATAAGGTAGGAAAAACTTACACTACTTCACTATGAAGTTAGGGCTGAAAATGTCATGATCGAATCTCAGATATCGTCAAATAATTTACATCTTCACCTTGAGCTATAAATATTCACTAGTATGTCAGTGTGACATTACTTCATGAAAAGCTGTGTTTAAATGGATATCCAACTTCTACATCGTTTAGCAGGACGAACGATTGTAAGTTTGTGGTTGCGGGGTGTATGAATCACCTTGTTCATCACAAACTCATAGGCCTCATATTTACTACAAAAGGAGCACCTGAAGATTATCATAAGCCTATTGACACTATGGTTAATTAGAAATATTATGCAAGCATGTACGAGATAGCTTAGATGAATGCTTCAGATGTCCTTCTACACTTTATTTGTTACGTACGACGTTACGAAATGAAGCAACAAACACAACTCAATTTTAGAAAAAAACAATGCTGATTATTCAACTGATAAATTTATATCCTTCCTTAACAAATAAACCGCTATGTTACGAAACTATTTTGACGTAAATGTGATCCGTCATGTGACTGGTAGGCCTGAAGATATGACAGTTTGCACACGACCATTAGAAGGAAGATGAACCGTGAAATAAAGTCGGGTGATGTTGGATAAATAACGTGGAAAACTTAGTCCTAAACATACCCTAATACCCAATGGACATGGAATTACTGAATACATTTAGGTGGAAGGCTTCGTGGCGGAGAAAGAATGAAAGTAATCAAAAGCAGCCAAAAATTGTAAAACCAGACCAAGGAGGAATGAA